GAGTCACATCCTTGGGTCCATCTAGGCCAGTGTTGTCCACATTGACTGGCAGCACTGGGTCTCTGGGGTCTCAAGTAGAGAGTCCCTCCAAGCCCTATTCATTGGACTCCTAACCACCCTACTCTGACCTTTCCCCCACCTGCATTCAGACTTGGGGATGTAAGAAGGAACAATAACATCATCTGGGAGGTGGCACTGAAACCACCTGAGGCATTTCCTCTAGAAGGAGGGAGGATTAAGCAAAGCTGAGCACTAGAATGTGCCAAGGACTCCAAAGCAGAAATGAAAATATTATTGCAAAAAGATGATGGGGTTGGGGGATGAGTGGAGGCTCCAGTGGCAGAAGGGACTGAACCATTTTACTGTGAAAAGATGAAAGCTCTAATAAAATCGACACCTAAAAAGGACGGGTGGGCCAGGTGGGCCTTCAGCCCCCCTCCTTGGCAGCTACTTTGCTGGAGTGCTTCCTCTGCAACCTCCTGCTCAGAACAACTTCCCCCACCAAATCGTTTTTAATGAATTTCAAAACAGTAACCAATACAAAAAGAGAAAAAACAAGTTTCTCAGGCATACAAAAGCTAAATAAATAAAAGTCATTAGGATCCAAGAGCTCGTCCTCTCTCTTCCTCTCATGGTGTAGCAGTAGTAGTAATAATTTCCCCAGCCACTCTGGGCAGCTTCCAACACATATAAAAATATAATAAACATCAAACATTAAAGACATCCAGATACAGGGCTGCCATAATACCAAACAAATTATAATACACTATATCATTAACTTCTTTACTTCCTTTGTTACAGGATATGGCTGGTGGGTAACAAACAAACACCTCTGGTCTATACAAGCCGACTGCACCCTGGACTGGAGGTTCTTCCCAGACCCTTGCTTCATTATTTGTATATACAATAAAATAATGCCAGATTTCATGGAAATTGTCAGGTGCTTTTGTTTTGTCCACATGACACTTAATTTGTGTGATAGTGATTCCCCAGTAAGGCTGTTTGCCAAACTATGTTATCTCACTGGTTCATATCTGGAGAATTTAAGTTTTCCAGTTTCTGGCTATGGTTGTATGTGCTGCTGGTAAAAGACATGTTACAAGCTCTTTGCTTTTTAACTGTTCAGTTTCTTCCATATATAAATTAAGCACAGCTAATGCGGAAGAAAATGGAACACCCTGAGATGTAATTAATGAAATTTCCTGAAAAACATTTTTCCGCTCAGAACAACTTATGCCACACATAATAATCCCCTCCTGGCAAGCTGGGCCAGGAGTTCATGTGCCTGAGGGCTGGGAGTGGGCCAGATTCCTGCAAGTTCCCCCCTCTCCCCCGCCCCCATGCTGGTGGCACAGACTGTAACGTGCTTCCTCCCTGCCCACCCACCCCAAGGGTGTACACACATGCCAGGCCCCTCAGGTGGCCAGTGTCTCTCTTCCCACAAGCCCCACATGGATGTGGCTGAGCCTGCTAAGGAGACGGGTGCTGGTGTCTTTCAGTGGTTCCAAGAGTGGACTGCAGGTGCCTCTTTAAGCCTTGCTCAGCAGGCCTTAAGCCACCACGAGGCCCACCACAGGTTCTAGGGTGAAGCTGCCAGTGCACCCCAAGGCCTCCTGGAACTGCCCCAAGTAATGCGAAAGATGCAGTCTGCTTCCTCTCATACCAACCAGAGAGGCCATTTACTGCTAACATGAGTAAGTTAGGTACAAGGTGGATTGTGGGAGGTCTGGGATATCTTGGGCTAAATGCAGGAAACAAAAGCAAAAGGTTTGTGCAGAAACGGTAGCATAATGTAGTTTTGTTCAGTTTCACTTTCTGGGGAGACTTTGCTGTTTTGGGCACTCCCCAAAAGCTCAGAGCAAGAGAGGCACTGCAAGAGCCAGAGTGGTCTCTGGCGATTCCACCCCAAAGACTCCCACCTCCCATTTCTCGTCCTTGCTCAGCCCCCATTTCCTCTGCCTGGACTCCATCATTCCACCTCCTCCTCCTGCACTGATTAAGGCAATTCTCCCAACGCTTTGCTGCTTCATTTAAAAAGATGATTCAGGGGGGAGAGCAGTGGCCTCACCTGAAATGGAATGGCCTTTGAGCTAGGCAAGAGCAACAGCGTCAAGGATGCTGCTCAGCTCCTCACAAGACAAGCAGCTGCGGTCCACCCCCTTAGCACCAGGGTCCCACCATAAGGAGCAGGCTGGAGGGGAGGACAGAGGAACTCCCAGTGTTGAGGCTTAGAAAAGGGGGTTGGGAGTATCATAATCAGACCAAGTGACTGAAGCAGCAGGAGCTGGGGAGGGGCAGAAGCAGCACCCCAGGAGCTCCAGTGTTTCACCTCCCAGAGCTCTGCCTGAGAGGAAGCCTATGGATTTCGTCCCATTTGTGGACCTCGGGTAGGAGCCCATCCAGCCTTCTTGAGAGCTTTCTCCTGAACACTTACTGTAGCAACACTTACTTAACCAAGCCCCACCAGCTCCAGTTGCTGGAAGCAAATGCCACTGCGGTTTTCCCCTGAAACCCACAGGATCAGGCTTCCTGATCCCTGGGGTGGAGATGGGAAAGAAAAGCCGCCTTTAAGCCTCCCCCTCCCCTCCAGGTTGACTCACTGTATGTCGCTGGACCCGTCAGTCGCTGCCGCGCCAATGAAGTGGGATGGGGAGAACATTTCAGTCGGCAATTAAACCTTTAGTTGATTAACCAACTTAATAAATTGACTGAACCTGAAGCTCTCTTGTATTTTGCATTACCTGAAGGCTCTGCATGCCCCCCCCCTTCCAGGGAGCTCACATCGACCCAATTTTTATTTAAAAGCAGCGGGAGGAGAGTACTTCAAGCGCATGCCTGCCATAAGCTGCGCCCCCCTCGCCCCAGCCCCCAGGACATTAAGGCCAGGAGGATCTTGGGCACAAACTGCTGCGGGAAGGCTGGGAAATGGCTGTGGGATCGGGCCCCTGAAAGAGCCCGCCTGCTCCCCTCCCCGGCTCCCTGTACGTGGCTGGAGGTGGAACAACCAGACCTGGGCAGAGTATTCAAGAGACTAGGGCCCTGCGGGACCTGACATCTTTCCGCAGGGCCTGCAAGACAGAGCTGTTCCACCAGGCCCTTTGGTCAGGGCGCAGCCAGACCCCCTCCTCTGGCAATCTGCACAGAATTTTGCTTAATGGTTGCCATCAATTTGATTTTAATTAATTTTATAATGAATGTTTTTAGAATGCTGGATTATTTTGATTGTTGTTAGCCGCCCTGAGCCCAGCTTCGGCTGGGGAGGGCGGGATATAAATAAAATTTATTATTATTATTATTATTATTCAGGTTCTGCGTTCAGATCTTCCTTCAAGATCAATTTCCTCATACAGGATTGCCCCAAAACGGCCATCAAAATGTAGCAGCTAATCCATACATAAAACAGCTCTAGCCTCCAAGGAAAACGAAGTCCAGAACTTTTCAGTCGACCTCCTCGGGAGCCTCGGCACAGCCCGGCTGCCTCTTGTCCGGGGCTCGAGAGAAAGAAGCCTCGGGGGCAGCAGCGCCGGGCGGGGAGGGGGCGCCAAAGGGCCCCTCCTCCGTGGCCCGACTAACTTCGTTCCTTGCCTTGAGGATGGCACAAGCAGAAAGCCCAGAAAGCCCCGCGGGAAAGGGAGGGGGCTGGCGGGGGGACGTGGGCCAGTCTTTGCCTGTCCGGCTCCCCAAACTAGACCACCTCCCCCCTCTCCCCCCCCCCCAGCCATTGTTCACAGAGGCCTCAGGCCGGGGGCCCGTCGGAGAAGGCGGGAATGGGGGGAGATGCCTCTGGAGGGAGGCAGGCGGGCGAGGAGGCTTCCCGGCGGAGAGGCGCGTCGGGGCGCCTCCACAGCTGGAGCGGGACTCCCAGGACCCCAAGGGGGGGGGGGCTCCCACCGAGACTCTCTCCCGATCCGGATCCTCCGGACCCCGCAAGCCAAGCCAGCTAAACAGACCAGCATCCGCGCCTCCCCTCGCCCCCTTTGTTCACTCCTGGCCGGCCGCGTTGCTGCGCTGCTCGGGGCGCGGCGTGGGGGCCGCTGGTACCCAGGTGATAAAGCGAGAGCAGGATGGAGTCCTGGGAGGCACTTTCCTTTCCCGCTGAGAAGTCAGAGCCGGCTGGGAGGGAGCAGAGAGCGAAGGGCACTCTGAGCATGTTCAGAGGCATCCTCTTCCCCCGCGCCTGGAGGTCGCGCCGGCATTCTCGGCCCCTCCAGGGGCGACCTCCGGCTCCGGCCCCGGGAGTAAAGGCGAGGTTGGAGCCGGAGGACGGCACCAGAGCAGCAGCGGCACGCCTGGCGGTCCCTGGCGGAGCGGCTCTCCCTTCTCCACGCGCCCTCCATCCCGGGGGGAGATGCACTTGCCCCCGGGGCGGGGCCTCCCTTGTGGGTCCCTCGGAAGATCGGCGGCTCTACCATGTCTACAGGGGATGGGGGGCGGTCTGGGGGCTTCAGCCGCACTGTTGACCCACCTGCCTCCGAGTGGGGCCCCTCCGCGTCCTCTTCGTGGGCGGCGGCGGCGGCCCAGGCGAGCAGGGCGGCCAGCAGGAGGAGGCGGCTGCGGGGCAGCCCTCGCCAGTCCCGGGCGCGCATCGTCCTCGCTGCACGCGGCTCCCTCCACGCCCGGCCGAGTGGGACCGGCAGGCGCTCAGGACGGCCGACGGGGCGGGCGCGCTCTTATATAGCCAGGATCTGTGGCTGCTACCGCCGCCTCCTCCGGGGACCCCGCGGGCTGAAAGCGCCCCCTCCTGGCTCCTGGCTCTGGGGGACTATCTCCCGGCTGAGCCTGGGAGCTCTGCCCTGCCCTGCTGCCCTTCTTCCCAGCGCTCGCCAGGACACCCTCGGCCATGCTCGCCCCTGAGACGCACCAGCCGGCTTACTCCTCTCAGCTGCTCCTACAGAGCCTCTCTTTGTCTTAAAGGCCCCTTCGGAGCTTGGTAGCCACCAGTCTAAATTACCCACCATGACCCAGAGTCTCCAATAGAGCATTGCTCTGCTGCATTGTGGGGCACCAAAGAACCTTAGCTCAGTTGCGGAGCATTTGCCTGCTTTGCATGCAGAAGGCTGCAGGTTCAATCCCTGGCTGGCACTATCTCCAGGTAGGGAAAAGGAAAGGGTTCCTACCTGAAACTCTGGGGAACTGCAGCTGCCAGTCAGAGTAGACAGTAGTGAGCTAGGCAGCAGCCTCCAATGCTCCTACTTTAATGGGTGGTTTGGAGCTGCCTGCCTGCCAGAACCAGTGGGGTCATTCAGTGGTGAGGCCCCAGCAGCTGCTGAGGATGCTCAGGTGCACTGATCCTGTGGGGTAGAGACTCAGCTCCCAGACTGATCTCAGGAGGAGCTGCAACAGCAGGTCTCCTTTCAAGCCTTGGAAATGGTGTAAGAGGGAAGGTGGCCACATCCCAATGCAAGAGGGCAGGTGAGAATGTTCACCTGTGAATGCTGCCACGCCTCCATATTTTGGAGTGCAAATCATGCAGAATCTCTACCTCTCACTAACCAAACAGAGAGTCTTGTTGCATCTTGAAGACTAAGGTTTGTTGTGGCATAAGACCCTTTGTTGTGTACTCTTCCATAGATTAATACTGCCCACCCCTCTCCCTGGAATTTGTTGTCATATCAATCCTAAGATAAACTTTTGGTTTTCACATACTACACATTATTATTATTATTATTATTATTATTATTTATTAAACTTGTTAGAAACTTTATCTTGTTCAAAGCAACTTACCAACCAACCAACCAACCAAAAAAACAAAACACCAAACCCTTAGAAACCAAGAGGACACCAGGAGGAAAGAGAAAACCATTAAAAATGTCCCACCCACTTCTAAAAGACCACAGATACTTAAAAGCTAAAGGCCTGATCATAGAGGAAAGTTTTCACCTGGTATCTAACAACATGTAACGAAGGTGCCAGGCAAACCTCCCTAGAAGGAGTATTCCACAAATGGGAGCCACTGCAAAAGGTTCATTCATGTGTTGCCACCCTCCAGACTTTGCATAGAGGCGGCACACAAAGAAGGGCTCTGATGATGATTGCAGGGTCTGGGTGGGTTCACATGGGGGAAGGGCCGTCCTTGATGTATTGTGCTCCTGAGCTGCTTACAGCTTTACAGGTCAAAACCAGCACTTTGCATTGGTCCCAGAAACTAATTGGCAACCAGTGCAGTCAGGCCACGATTTGTCTTCTTCTTATTCTTATTCTTATTCTTCATACTACTAATAATAATTTATAGCCTGCCCATCTGGCTGGATTGCCCTAACCACTCTGGCTGGCTTTCAACACATAAAAACAATGATAAAATGTCAAACATTAAGAACTTCCTGATACAGGGATGCCTTCAGATGTCTTCTAAAAGTTGTATAGCTCTTTTATCTCCTTGACATCTGATGGGAGGCCATTCCACAGGAAAGGTGTCATTGCTGGGAAGGTCTTCTGCCTGGTTCCCTGTAACTTCACTTCTCTCAGTGAGGGAACTGCCAGAAGATCATCAGAGCTGGACCTCAGTGTCTGGGCTGGAAGATGGGGGTGGAGACACTCGTTCAAGTATATAGGGCTGAGGCCATTTAGGGATTTAAAGGTCAGCATCAACACGTTGAACTGTGCTCAGAAAAGTCCTGTGAGGCAGTGAAGATCCTTTAGGACCAGTGTTATATGGTCCTGGCAGCCACTTCCAGTCACCAGTCTAGCTGCCACATTCTGGATTAATTGTAGTTTCCAGGTCACCTTCAAAGGGACCCCCACGTAGAGCACATTGCAGTAGTCCAAGCGGGAGATAACCAGAGCATGCACCACTCTGGAGAGATAGTCTGCAGGCAGGTGGGGTCTCAGCCAGCGTACCAGATGGAGCTGGTAGACAGCTGCCCTAGACACAGAATTGACCTGCGCCTCCATGGACAGCTGTGAGTCCAAAATGACCCCCAGGCTGCACACCTGGTACTTCAAGGACACAGTTATACCATTCAGGACCAGGAGTCCCCTGCCCCTCAGTCTTCTGTCTTGCTGGGATTCAACTTCATTCCGTTAGGCGCCATCCATCCTCCAACCGCCTCCAGACACTCACACAGACTTTCACTGGTTCTGATTTAAATGAGAGGTAGATTAACTTGCCTCAGTGAGCAACCTGGCCACTTACTTCTGCCCCACCTGGCAGTTGATCATTCAACATGTGCTTAAAAACCTCCAAGAAAGGAGAGTCCACAATCTCCTGAGGGAGTCTGTTCCACTGTTGAACAGCTATTACTATCAGAAAGTTTTTCCTGATGTTTAGTTGGAACCTCCTTTATTGTACCTTGAATCCATTGGTGAGTTACACCCTCCAGAACAGCAGAAAACAAACTCATTCCAACTTCCATGTGACAGCCCTTCAGATATTTGAAGATGGCTGTTGTGTCTCCTCTTTTCAAGGCTAAACATACCCAACTCTTTAAACTGCTCTTTATAATGCTTGGTTTCTAGACACTCCCAAATAACCCAAATAGATTAATGGAACAGGACTTTCCCTTGCAGAAGCCATGCTGGCTTTGCTTTAGCAGGGCTTGTTCTTCTATGTGCTTAGTTATTTTATCCTTAACAATACTTTACACCAATTTTCTCAAGTTATACATTAAGCTGAGCAGCCTGTAGTTTCCAGGATCACCCCTGAAGTCCATCACCACCTCACTCCTTTCAGCAGCATTTCAAGGCCTAGAAGAGAGGCTCAGAAAGCCCTGGGGACAAAGATAACCACTTTAGCAAAGAAAATAGATTATAAGCACAGAAAATAGGGAGCTAAGCAAGCAATGATGCAGTTACTGGGATATTGAGCTTGTGTGGCAATGCAAGAGGTGGTTGCCTGCAGTTCCAGGACATGCTGAAGACAGAAGAGTGACAGAGTGGTTCTTGGTCAGAAGGAACCACATTAGAAAGCAAAGGTCTAGTCCTGGCTGGGAAGGGGAACAGAGCCCCCTCCTCATATTCCATGGCTTACTCAGGAGTCTTCGGTGAGATACCCAGGAGCACATGTGATTGGCATAACCCATCCATCCACATGCTTGCCATTTTCACACAAACTGCAGAAGCATGGGTGTAGCGGGGTGGGGGTGGGTGGGAGCAGACCCCTGGGCGCATGATTTTCACAGGATGGAAGCCAGACCCCCCCCCAAGGATCACTGTCCTGCCCTGCCTGTTGCCAGGGGTCTCTGAGCCTGGGAGCCCGGCTTGGCCTTGCCACGACATCCCCAGCCACCCTGCATGGGTGGCTAGGACCCCCGCTTGGCTCCAGTGCCCAGGGCTGAGCTGGTGCATGGGCTCCGTGAACCTTCCACACCTGTTTGCACATGCCTAGCAGCATTGGCAGCGAGGGCTGGCCTGGTGGCTTCTGTTGGCCTGGCGCTCCCTGGGTGCCAAATAAGGATGCAATGCCCAGAAGGGTTGCACATTTTAGAAAACTACCATTCCACTGATCCCAGTGGTAAAAGATGCTTTGAGCAAGGGAATTTAGTATTTTCTGAAATGGTTCAAATAAAATGACACAAAATGTCAAAGCCTGTCACATTGAAAATATTTTCATTAGGCTAATAGGCTGTCTTGCAAAAATTATTTAATTTTGTTCATCCTCAGCATTGCCATGCAGTTAAAAGCCTCTGAGGTCAGTTGATGGTTAAGAAACGCTACTGATCAAAGGAAGAAAGCAGAGGAGGAAGAGACCCAACAGTTGCTGCTGCTTCTGACCCCACAGGGACAAATAGCAAAATGATCCTGAATGCCTGAAGTGACTTTAATGATTTCTTGTAAACCACTTAGAGGTTTTGTTACAATTAAACAGCATATACATTTTGTATAATAGATAAAAATAAATCAAAGGTTACTCCATATTTTATTGGATCCATGCGTCTGTATTATGCAATGCTTGTTTGCTACTTGTCCCCCGCCCCTTAATGACATTTTATTATCTGTTCAGTACCTGTACCTGCCATAGGTATATCTGGGTGAGGGCCAATAAACGGTGACTGAATCCTGACAAGGCAGAGGTGTTGTGGACTGGCGGCTCTCAGGCCCTGGAACTGGGTGCAATGCGTGTCCTGGAAGGGGCTGCGCTCCCTTTGAAAGAGCAGGTGGGGAGCCTGGGGCTTCTCTTTGACCCACATTTATCATTGGAGGCCTGGGTGGAATCAGTGACACGTGGCTCTGCCAGCTGCAACCATCCCTGGGCAGAGATAAATTGGAATGCTAAATAAATAAATCTGCATTGCCAATATATTTATTTTTAATCATGTGTTGTTTTTCCCTTCAAAAAACGAATCTTATTTGGATGCAGCCTTGATCCTATGAAGAGGGAAGGGCTGGCCAATAAGGCAGGATGAAGATCAATACAAAGCAAAGGTGAGATGGGCTGGAAACCAGGAAGGAGGGCAGGAAAGACCTGCTTCTGCTCCTTGGGAAGGTCAGAAAGGAGAGGAAGCTGACTTGGCAGCAGCTTGCTTGACTCCAGGCCTTTCCAGAGGACCTCAGCAATGCCTGGAGGCTCTCAAGCTACTGAATGCCAGAATCCCACTGGTGGGGAGGGTTAGGGTTAGGGTCACTGAGCCACTGCTCAGGTTCTGCTTGTGAGTTTCCTAGGCCCGTTGTTGTTTAACATCTTTATACATGACTTGGATGAAGGAATTGAGGGGATGCTCATCAAATTTGCATATGACACTAAACTGGTAGAGGGTAGCCAATGCCGCAGAAAACAGAACCAGGATACAAAATGACCTTTACAGATTGGAGAACTGGGTGCAAACTAACAGTGAGTTTCAACAGAGACAAATGTTCCTGCACTAAGGCAGGAAGAACCAGATGCACCAGGGATGCCAACCTGAATAAAATATTGTAGGGGCCCAGGTAAGGCCTGCCCCACATAATCAATCACATGATGCAGTGCACGCACTCCATTTGAATAGGAATGTCCATCAAATTTGTGGGGGCCCAGCCCCCTCAAACATTTTATTGTGGGGGCCAAAGCCCCCACAGTCCGTAGGAGTTGGCTCCTATGAGATGCACAAATATAGGACGGGGGACACCAGGCTTACTAGTAGTGAGAAGGATCTAGGACCACACAGCAGTGTGATGCAGCAGCAAATAAAGTTAATGCTGTTCTAGGCTGCATCAACAGAAGTATAGTATTCTGTTCAAGAGAAGTCATAGTACCACTCCATTCTGCTTTGCTCAGACCACATTCTGAGTCCTGTGTCCTGTTTTGGGAGCCACAATTTAAGGAGGATATTGACAAGCTGGAACATGTACAGAGGAGGGCAACCAAGATGATCAAGCGTCTGAAAACCAAGCCTTATGAGGAGTGGTTGAGGGAGCTGGGTATGTTTAGCCTGGAGGAGAGGAGACTGAGGAGATATGATAGACATCTACAAATATCTCAAGGGCAGTCACATGGAAGATGGAGCAAGCTTTCTTTCTTCTGCTCTGCAGTGTAGGACTTGATCAGCTAGAGCCTGATGAAACATCAGGAAGAACTTTCTGACAGAAGGAGCTATCTCAGTCAACCTAGCAGTTCGAAAGCATACCAGGTGTTGCTGCGGCAGTCACGGTGTCCCGTTGGCCAGAAGCGGTTTAGTCCTGCTGGCCACATGACCAGGAAAGCTGCCTGTGAACAAACGCCATCGTAGCAACTCCAGTCGCCTTTGCCTGGACTTAACTGTCCAGGGGTCCTTTACCTTTACCTTTTACCTATTAGACAGTGGACCAGTCTCCCTCAGGAGGTGATGGACTCTCCTTCACTGGAGGTTTTTAAGCAGAGATGGCCATCTGAAAGAAATTCTTCAGCTGAGATTCCTGCATTGCAGGCTGTTAGACTAGACGACACTCTACAGTTCTGTGATTCTATGAACACAGTTATGATTAAAAAAGAAAGAAGAGCAATTGCCGGGCAATCCTAGGGGGCGGAGAAGGGGAGGCATCTACTGTGCGCCAAGAGCGCGGCGGCCGCTCTCCCCTTCGGGCGACCCCCGAGTCCGCCCCCGAGCTCAGCCCCGCCCGCCCGGAAGGGGCCGGACCAGCTGGCCGTTTGAACGCTTGGCGGGCGGCGCGGGACGGAGCGAGGTAGGGCAGCGGCGAGGCAGGCAGAGCCCCTTGGTTCCGCTGAGCGTGGCCGGGCCGGGGGACCCCCAGCCCGCCTGGCTCTCCCGCTCCCTCGGGGGCTTCCCACCCCCAAGCCACCCGCCACGCGCGGCGACTCTTCTGCCTTACACGGAGCCGCCAGGCGAACTCCGCTTATAGTCGGACTTGCTTCCGAGTAGACCTGAGTCGGCTGGCGCTGGACTCTCGGGGAGCCTCTGCTCGCGGGGTCCCCGGAAGGCGGCCCCATTTCCGAAGGGCTGCCGAGCCAGGGCTGCGGGGGACCCCGGGGAAGCCTGCCCAGCTTCGCTCGCCTTTGCCCCCATCTTTCCTCCAAGGAGCTCAAGGTCCTGACCTCGCCCTGCCCCCCAACTCCCCATTTTATCAGCGAGGTTCGTGGCTGACTGGATTTGGAACAAGGCCCTCCCGGTTCCACGTTGCCGCAAACCTCCAGAGAAAGGCTTTCTGGGCTGGTTTGTGCCTGCTGACCTGGTGGGGGAAGCTGCTGCCAGGGCCTTGTGCAAGCTTGGTGCGCTTCCTCTGAACTCAAGGCAGGGACTCTCACACCCCGGCATTTCTCCCAAGCCCATGTTCTTCCCCCTGTTTTCTGTATTATGCCATGTTCATTGGTAGCGCTTTGAATAATAATGGACTGTGGTTCCATTTGCTGTGTGCTTGCGTCTGACCTGTGTGCCAAAGGGCTGCACACTGGCTTGTGTTGATTCTGCATAGTGCCTGGTGAAGAACCAAAGATCAGGTACTTGCACTGCTCAGGGGTCACCTAAGAGTCCTGCTGAACTAAGCTAAAGACCCCTCTTGTTCTCACAGGGGCTGCCAGGTGCCTCATGAGAAGCCTGCAAGCAAGGCAGCAACTGTGCCTCTGACCATGGAGGGGCAACACAGTCATCAAGGATAGTATCCACAGAAAGTCCAGCTCTCCTCCAGGAATTTGTCTAATCTTCTTTTGATCCTCTATTAAAGTTGCTGGCCATCACTGCCTCCTGTGAGAGCCAGTTCCATAGTGTAACTATGTGCCATGTGACGAAGTTCTTTTTGTGTGTCCTGAGGCTTCCAGCAGTCTGCTTCAATGGATGGCCCCAAATTATAATACGGGAGCTTTGTCCCTGACTCCTACTCTCGACCTTGTGCAGGCTTAAGGTCAGGGAAGGAGGAAGAGCTGGGGAGCAAGCTGGAAGGCTGCAGGTGGTAGGGCTCTGACAATACCAGGTGCTGAGAATTGCAGGTGAGGAGAGTACTGCTGTTGTGCTCATGTCCTGCTTGTGGGTTTTGCAGGTTCTTCTTATGTTCTCCATCCCTTGCATTATCTTTTAACTTCTATCATGCCCTGCCCACTTTTACTTACCTTTTCTCTAAACTAGAAAGTCCCTAATGTTGCAGCATTTCCTCTTAGGAGAGAGTTCATATACAGACATCGTTATCATATCTGAAGTTTTATTCCCAGTCCCTTTCCTAATGATCCTTAGTATGGGCTGGCTGGAGCAACTTTCTTTTCAAGGCTTCCCTTTTTCTCCCCAAGAAAAACACACAATGACCAGCACCCTTGGGAGCAGCTGCCACCCGGTGGAAGAGCAGAGAGCCCGGTGGGAGAGGAAGCGCTGTCGGACGGCTAAGGAACTGGTGGAAACAGAGCAGCAGTACCTGGAGCAGCTGGGCTTGGTAGCCACGGTGAGAAGCTGGGCTGCAGGGCCCTGGACCTTTCTCTGAGCTCAGATACTGTGCAGGACTAAGGGTGCCATTCTGCTCCCAGCTCTTTCTTGAAGGAGCAAGCTGACCCGGCTTCCTGGCTCACTTTTTTCAGTGATGTGCTGCTTTTTCTTTGTTGCTGTTAGCAGCCAAATGGTGCAGGGAGAGAGACCAGAGGAAGGAGGAGCAGAAAGGAGAAGGCAGATTCTCACCACCCTCAAGCCCTGAGCACTGCAGCCTTCTCTTGGTGCTGGCAGGGCTCCTAAGAACATAAGCAGAGCACTGCAGCTGCAGCTGGATCAGGCCCAAGTGGGCCCACCTAGTCCAGCCCCTTCTCATAGTGACCAACCAGATGTCCCAAATGGGAAATCCGTTAGCAGGCTCAGAGTGCAACAGCCATGCTCTCCCAACTTAGGAGTCCCAGCAACTGATATTGTTCAGAGACAAACTGCCCACGACAGTGGAGGTGGAACGTAGCCACTGCAGTTAGTCACCATCAATGGGGCTGGGTGATATATATTATCCAAAACCAGTTTAATGTCCATATCATGATAACGGTTTCATAATTTTTGACTTGGCGATATATTGTGAACCATAATGCAAAAATCACAATGTGGGGAAAACTGTGAAGGCAGCCAATGTCTCTACAAAGCTCCATCCTTATTTCAGACATGGGGATATGTCAGTATATTGCTTTGTTTAGCTGGTGATATATCACAGTGTTGAAAACCGGATATCTCCCAACCCTACTGTTCACCTCTACATAGTTCCATCCTTATTTCAGACATTGTGATATATCAGTATGAAGAAGGGTTTCCTTTTTTCTAGCTCTGAGTCTTCCAACACTCCGCTTCATTGGTTGGCCGTACAATAATGTATTGAAATGGTTTTGTGGGCCTTTGTTTCTAGCAGTTGGCTCTTCAAATTCTCTTTCTTTCGTATTCCCCTCCCCCCTTGCATCCCTGATTGTCTGCTTGCATTTCTTTGGCCCAAGCTGACTTTCCTTTTTGTGGTCCTTGTTTGGACAGGCCTTCCATTTTCTAAAGGAGGCCTTTCTGCCCTCTACTGCGTTCTAACTGAACTGCTATTGCTGTGGCTTTGAACGACCCACAAGCATTCTGGGTAAATCTGGCCACCATCATTTTCTTGTTCAACTTCCTTCTTACCAGACTCCTCGCTTTTGGGTAGTTATCTCTTTTGAAGTCCAATGTAAAGGTGCCATACTTTCTTGACAATTGCCCACTTAACGTTGTGCAGCACTCTGGCTGATGTCACTGGTTGGTTCAACAGCACATCTCACACCAAGCTGTGGGCCCCACTTCAAGATGAAGTCCAGCATGGTCACCCCTCTGGTCAGTCACATCACCAACTACTGTAGGATGCCATCATTTACAGTATGTAGCAATGTTCCCCCTTGATTGTGACCTGAACATGCATATATCCAGTCAAGGGTTAGGTTAGTTAGAAAAGTATTTGTATCTGGGGAGGAGTAACTGCTTTGCATGTCTCTTGTTAGTACTTTGTGGCCATCCTGAAGGCCAAAGGGACCTTGAAGCCAGCGGATCAGGAGGCTATCTTTGGGTGCCTGGAGTCCATCTGCTCTGCCAGCCGGTAAGGGACCCACCGTGGGAGCCTTTGTTGATGGGTGGGGTAGCATGGGTCTGTTGGGTGGTGGCAGTGGGCTCTGAGAGTTTTCCTCCAACTTCCTGCTCTGTATCCTGTCTGGTTCTGTAGCCCACATTTTCCAAACTTACAGGACCTCAGTACACTGAGACACCTCCTGACTGTTTAATATGGGTGGGGGTAAATGGGAGCTGGGTTTAGGGGTTAGCTTTATGATGGAGGCGATTGCACCCTCTTAAATTTTCAGATTTTATTTCAATCAGACTAAACAGACACTTGGAAGTCCTCTTTGCAAGAACCACAATGCTGCCTCTCAACCTGATATGTGTGGACTAGAGTAGGCTCTCAAATGACAGACATGGATCTGTAAAGGAAATTGGGGGAGTCAGTTGTCTCCTCAGATATTTGGGACAACCGCTGCCCCTGGCTGGATTTTGGCCTTTGGGACAACATCTTAGCTAGGCCTGTGCGATGTACCAATACATAGTTCAAATCCGGTTTGAAGCCCACATTGCAATATTTGACCCAGCAATTCACTGTAAACAGCCTTCAAAATTCCAGAGGGCAATATAATTGTGAAAAATTTGAGAAGTCAGCCTCAGCACCTCCCCTTAACTGCAGTGTTGGTGCTTTAAGAAACAGGACTGCCTGCTTTCCTTCCTTCCTTCCTTCCTTCCGGCCGAGGCACCACAATTGTGCTGGGAAGGACAGCTGAGTGCTGCCAGCCCAGCATCCTCAGCCTAGGTGATGTGATCCTGCATGTGGCTGGGAAGGATGGCAAAGAGCTCTGCCAGCCCAGGGGGTGCGAACCTTCCTTCCTTCCTTCCTTCCTTCCTTCCTTCCTTCCTTCCTTCCTTCTCCTGGTCACTTCTTCTGCTCCCCCCCCATCCTACCCAGCCCAGGCGCCTCGATTGTGCACATTGGGAAGGACAACCTGGTGCTCTAAGAAAGAGCATGGAGATCATGCAGCGAAAAGCTTCCCTCCTGCCACAGCCCAGCCACCCCTCCTTATTTCAGACATCATGAGATACCAGTATATCACGATGGTTAGCTGCTGATATAGCCTGATGTTGAAAACCAGAGATCGCCCAGCCCTAATTTTAGCACTGTGCAAAACTCACATGTGAACAATGTGCTGAAAATATTCCATATGAACCTACCCAGATCCTGAGATCATCCACTGAGTGTGCCTCCTCCATGAGAGGTCCAGAGGGTGGCAACACAAAAACGGGTCTTTTCTGCAGTGGCTTCTCATCTGTGGAATGCTCTCCCCAGGGAGGTTCGGCTGGCACCTTCATTATACACCTTTAGGCGCCAGGTGAAAACGTCCCTCTTCAACCAGTACTTTGACTGATTGACACCTGATGCTCTTTTAAATGTGGAAACATGGATTGTTGGTTTGGTTTTGCTCATATTTTTATTATGTATTTGTGTTTTTATGTTGTGAATCGTCCTGACATCTACAGCTGAATAGTATTCCTTTGGGCAGGAGGAAGCTTTGTCCTGTGTTGAGATATCAAACCCGACCCCCCCTTGGTGCAGAACAGAGCCTACCTCTGAATCCCTGTGAGCTCCCCTCCAAGGCAGGAGATCTCCTTCAAGGCAGGATATGCCACTAACCACAAGTGTCGTGGATAGTCCCGCACCCACCTCTCATATAGCCCCTTATGGAGGCTGGGGAGGGGGGAGCAAGGGGGAGCGCCAGTGTGAGGCAATACTGGTAAAGTGGCATTGCCCCCCACAAACTTCTTGATTCAAGGAGCCCTCTCCCGCTTTGCACCCAGGACTCTGCTTTTCCATCTGGAGGGAGGCCGCTTGGGGCTTGGCCTGGAGGGTTTCTGCCACCAGCTGGTTCTCTACGTCTGCTATGCTGAAAACCTGGGAAAGGCCCAGAGCACCTTGGAGGTACCTGTTTCCTTTTTCTGTCCCTGTCACACCCTTTGAGCAGGAATCTTGCAGGTCGCTGCTCTGGGCACACAGCCCCCCCCCCAGGCCTGGAGCCTTTTCCTGCCCTTTGCTGATCAAGCCGTGTCAGTGATGTTTTAGCTGTGATTCCTGCCTTGCAGGGGGCGGGGCTAGATGCCTCTTGGAGCCCCTCCATCTCTACAATTCTGTCATGACCTGGGGTGGGGAGTGGGTGGCAGGTCAGCTAGTGACTCCTGCTTCTCCTCTCTTGCCCTTCCAGAGGCAGGTGCGGAAGAACAAACCCTTTTCCCGCTTCAAGAAGCTCCAGGAGTCCCGGCCAGAGTTTGGGGGCCTTTGCCTGGAACAGCTGCTCCCGCTGCCCCTCCAGAGGCTCTCTCGGTAGGTGGCCGCCTCTGCAGGAGGATGCTGTGCTCATCACATCTGGGAGGGGCTCCACAGCCTGGCTGCACCCCCTCAGCCCCAGGGAGGAGGCTGCTGGAGGGCTGAGCCGGAAGGCGTGCACCTGCCCCTCCTTCCCCACCCCATCTGACAGTGCCCCCTCTCTTTGGCAGGTACAGGCACTTGCTGAAGGATTTGGTAGGAAATACCCACCCAGAAAGCTCTGACTTTAAGCAGCTGACAGGTAGGATATTAACTTTTCTGTGAGCAGCCTGGGGACTTGCTGAAGGGCGGGGGGAGGGGAATCAAGTAAATAATATTAACTCCCTTGAGCCACAGAGGCTCCAAACTACTTCCCCTGGGTGTGGGTGTGTGCCTTGTCTCAGGTGATGTTGTGGTCCTTGCAGGAGTTCTGAAGTCTGTCTCTGAGGCATATCACCGAGTCCAGGAAATATCTCGTTGCCGTGACAATGCCAACCAGATGCGCCGGGTTCAGAAGCTGCTTAAGGGACAGAAGACCCGGATTCTGGCTCCAGGTGGGTCCTCTGCTTTGGTAACAGGAGACAAAGAGGCAGGGCAGGCAGCAAAGAAGCCACCCTTCAGCTGGGTAAACCACCTATCTTTGCTCCTCAAACGTGGCCTTACAGGACGCTTTGGGTTCATGCTTGTGTTGCTCTGGGATGCAGCTGACGGGCAGCTCCTGGGGCTGGACATTTCTGGCAACTGGAGCAGAGATCATTTGCTAGAGCCAGAGTGGTCTCTGGTGATTCCACCCCAAAGACTCCCACCTCCCATTTCTCGTCCTTGCTCAGCCCCCATTTCCTCTGCCTGGACCCCATCATTCCACCTCCTCCTCCTGCACTGATTAAGGCAATTCTCCCAATGCTTTGCTGCTTAGTTTAAAAGGATAATTCAGTGGGGAGAGCAGTGGCCTCACCTGAAATGGAATGGCCTTTGAGCTAGGCAAGAGCAACAGCGTCAAGGATGCTGCTCAGCTCCTCACAAGACAAGCAGCCATGGAGCAGCCCTTAGTGACAGAGTCCCACCATCAGCACAAGGAGAGGGGCATTGCATTGGGCATAGAGCGCAAGTTGCATTGGGTGGACCACAGGGCGTCATGGGGGGGGCTCTGAAGGGCAGCATTGGAGCTGCAGGGTGGCACAAGAGTTGGTTCCTGGTACTGGTGCTGCAAGGCAGCACAGCCAATGTCCAGTTGCTACGTCGCTGAGGACAGAGGAGCTCCCCGTGGATTTGCAGGTTTGGGATGCTCCTCAATCCAGCATTGCTTGGGAAGCTTCAGGCAGCTGTGACTCCTGCATTTCAGGGGCTGGACTAGATGCCTGGGCGCCTTCCAACTCTACAGTCCTAGGATTCCATGTTAGGGATGCTGGCAACTCCTACTCTATGGGTGACTCACATGCCAGCCTCAGAACGCAAGATTATTTCGGGCTTTTATTTGTTGTGACTTACAAACCTTCGCTTTGGTGCTCTTACCATGAAAGGGCTTTCCAGGCTGGCAGTGAGGCATCCGCAGCCACATCCTGCGTGCACAGGGCTGCTCTGCACCCTTGTTGCTCCCACCTCCAGGCTTTATCCACCCCAGTGCATAGGGGTGGGTGGGCTTGCCCCTTTCCCTTGTCCTTCCTCTCCCTGTTTTCTGTGGCTAAGGACCTCCTAGCCAGTTTTGTCACAGATGAAAAGCTGGAGGCAAACCCAAGAGACAGGGAAAGATACTCAGGCGAAGGGTCACCAGGTCCCTGCAAGGGCCAGTCGGGCATGAGAAGCCCTTATGCCGCCCTGGAAGGGCTGGTGTGCAAGTCAACCTGTGCTCTGGCTATTGTTGGTTTTGCCTTTGTGTTCCACCTTTTCTCCAAGGAATACAAGGCGACATACGTGGTTCTCCCTGTCCCCCCTTTATCCCCACAACCACCCTGTGAAGTAGGGGAGCCTGGTAATCTCAGCAGATTCCTCCGGTGTGACAGTAGCAAACCTCCTCCATGCTGGGGAGAAAGAGGGCAGAGTCTCATCAAGACAGAGCCATGCATTGATGGCTGAAAAGGCTGTGAGAGCAGCTTACAGGCCCAACAGGGTCCCGGCCTGTCAGGGAGCTGCCGCTCTCAGTGGGTCTGGGGAGGTTGCCTGACTCCAGCAGTCCCAACACCCCAATTGGCCTCTGTGGCCCCACATTTTGTCACAGGGCGCTGGTTTCTCCGGGAAGGCTGGCTATCGGTGGTGCCCCCCAAGGGGAGGAGCTGCAGCGCCGGATGTTCTTCCTCTTCTCCGACATCTTGCTGGTGACCAAGCCCTGCCACCCGCTCCACCCCTGGAACGCACACAAGTTTGCCTGCCAGGCCATCCTCCCTCTCAGGCAAGGCACGGTGCAGAAAGTCTTCGGTCACACGCAGAGCCAAGGGGGGCTGCTCAGTGTAAGTTCTTCCCAAACCCAGCAAATTCTGCCTTGGTGTAGGAAGCCCTTGTCCCGACCACCTCACTTGGGGGGTCCACACCTGGCCTGCTGGGTAAATCCTGTGGTAGCAGCATCAGGGCAGGTGCAAGGGGCAGAGAGGCAACAAGCTGGCTGAAGCAAGTCTGCTGTAACAACAAAGGGGAGCTGCTGGGGTGTGTTTGCGTGCGCACACAGGAACAAGCACCCAAAGGTCCAAGAAATGGGTGGGGATGGGGGGCTGCTGCTCTGCCACAAAGGGCCAGGCAGTGCTTTTCTGGGCTTCTGGCAGGCCTCCAAGCACCCCCTGTCATGGGCTGCCTTGAGAAGGAAGTCCTGGACCACCTTTACCTGGGCCATCTCTGTGGCCCAACCTCCTGCCTTAGCCCAAGAGCTTGCCATCTCCCAGCAATGCTTCCCTTCTTCCAGGTCTCCTTCCCCCACAGGACGTTGCTGCTGATGTCGTGTAATCAGGAGGACTTTCATGAATGGCACCAGACCCTGTTGACTGCTGTCAGGTAGGCTACACCCCGCCCCTCTGCTGACTGTGGAGACATTGCTAGGCTTGTGTTTTTTGAGATCCAGAATTCACCTCCTTCCCTTTCCACCTACAGGCAGCTGCAGATGGACTCCCCTCCTGCTGAATAGAGGACCTGCACAGGGCCCCCCCTCCTGCTGGGGCCAGACAAGCCAGGACCAGGCCAGTGGGTGCCAACAGCTGTGCGGGCTACATAGAAACCACTGGTTACCAAAGCCACCATTTCCCTTCTTTGGAAGCCGCAGCCCAAGGCCCAACCTGACCTAGCACTGGCCCATCCTTGCTTTTGCTTCCCCTTGACTCTACCGGGAGACCTGCAAGATGTCCAGAATTGGCCTGTTCATTGGAGCTGCTACCTGCAAGGCTACTCTGCCTATTTAGGCTGCAGAGGCACCTGAGCCTTAAGCATAGTCAGGTGAAGGAGCAAAATGTCCATCTGGCTTGAGCTGCATCAGCAGTCTCACTCCAAGATGGCTGGGAACAAAAGGTGCAAGTTTCCCTTGGCTTGAACAAGCTGTGACCTTTTAAAATCTGCATTTTACCTTCATGACTGTATAAAAATGACAATCCTTTTAGAATTCTTAACACTAGACTGCTTCTGGGGCCAAAAACCCCGTGGGTCCGTTTGGCATGATGAAGATGGTGAAGGCATGATGCCTCTGAGTGGTGTATCCTGTGCAGCTGCTGCTCCCTGTTTATTCTCTACTACTAAGAAACAAAATCCCTTGAAGAATCTGATGTCCACTGTGGTCTCCGCAAAGTGATTAAAGTCTGTGATGTCAGCAAGCACAGTGATGTCTTAAGCCAGGGGTGAGGAACCTGCGTCCCTCAGCAAGGCAGAAAAGGGGAGACCCCAAGAGAAAAAGGTTCTTCACGCTGGCCTTAAGCAACTTTAGTAAGTTCCTGTTCTTAAGGATGCCCTCCGCTTCTCTGCCAAGGGATAGCTGTGTGGACCTGGGATTGGACACAATGCAGCCCAAGGTTTCTCAGGAGATGGGAAGCTACCCCTCCTCTCTCTACTTGCCCTCTGTGTGACCACCCAAGTAAAATGCATCTCCATAAGGCAACAGCTTCCGCAAAGAATTGGCTTGTCAAGTTTAACTGAAGTATGTTCTACTCACTCCTGACACTTATAATTGCAATTATAACCATTTTTACATTGCCATCACAAAATATATTTTGAGATTATGGTTTTTGTGTTACCAGTGTTCAAGTTTTGTGTAGCTTTAATATACTTTCTTTGAGATTTTGGTGTATTAAAACCTATCTTTTAACCTCAGCTGGAAATGTAGCAATGTGAGTTGTTTAAAATGTCATAGAATCATATAACTGTAGAGTTGGAAGGGACCCCAAAAGTCATCTAGTCCAACCCCCTGCAATGTAGGAATCAGAGTTACCGAGTCCCTGGCAGATGGTCACCCAATCTCTGCTTTAAAACCTCCAAGGAAGGACAGACCCGAACCTCACGAGGGAATCTGTGCCACTGTCGAACAGCTCTTACTGTCAGCAAGCTCTTTCTGATGTTGGGGCAAAATAAATGAAAAAGCAAAGCGATGTACTTCTTTTAATAAAAGACTTTTAATGAGAGGGGAGATCTGGGATTTACAGAAATGATCCAGTGGAAGTTACTAGTTAAATGCAAAGGTTGGTTTTCAAACAGTGGCTCCAGTTGCTAGGCGGCGCTTTTGTGTTCCTAAAGCAGCCTTTCTCAAGCTTGTGTCCCCAGATGTTGCACTATAACTCCCATCGTCCCTGACCACTGGTTCTGCTAAATAGTGATTATGGCAGTTGTGGTTCAACAACATCTGGGGACTCAAGTTTGAGAATGGCTGTCCTAAATTGCGAGAGCACTCCAGCATAAGGTTTTCTCCCTCCCCAACTTAACCACCTAGTCCTAGTAAGTCACCTGCTCCTGGCTCCGCTGGTGCCATTGCAGGCCAGATATGTCACCAAGCACCATCACTCGGCTGCAAGCAGCACAAAGAGAATTCAGAGAAACCAAGGCATTTGCTCCACGGCTGCTGTCGTTTATTTCGGTGTGCATGAAGGTAAGAGAGCTTCTCTTTTTTCAAGTTTCCAGTCCCAAGAGAAAACTAGTAACCTGCAGAGCAAAGTAGATGAAAGCAGGGAGGTGGTCTCAAAAAACCCAAAGAAATGCAGCTCCTCTCCCCAACATCAAGGTGAGGTCGTAGGCAGGCTTCCAAGTGACAGGAGAAGGGGAGGGAGGAAGTGGTGTCTGTCCTTCTGTCTACACTGCCGTGCCCTCAGATGGGCTCCCCTGGAGTGGAGCTTCCGGCGCCCTCAGGGCATCCTCCCGGAAGCCCTTCAGCAGCTGATTCACCAGCGTCTTCTCACTGTCGCGCTTTGGGCGCAGGAGGGGCGGAAACGGGTTCCCCTTGTACTCAATGACGGCCATCTCAGCACGGTCCAGGTTCTCCCGGTTGGGGATCCGCAGCAGGCGTGTGTAGTTGCTGGAGTGTGCCTGGAAGCGAGGAGCCAGCACCTTGAAGAGCTTGTGCAGGAGATCCTTCTCCTGGGGTGGGGGAGGCAAAAGAGGGGGCTCAGTGGGGGCAGAGTTGGCAGGAGACCCTCCCCCCCAGAAGGGATGCAGCCTCACCGTCAACCAGAAGTCGGCCATGCGCATTGCTTGGGGGTCCGTGTCCCCACGCTTGGCATAGTTGATCAGCTGAAGGGAGGAGAGAGAGGAGAGGATGTCAAGGTAAGAACAGCCTACTAGATCCGGCCAAAGGGGGTTCATGTAGTGCAGCCTCCTGTTCTCACAGTGGCAAACCAGGTGCCCCCAATGGGAAACCTGCAAGCAGGATTCGACCACAACAGCAACGCTCCCCTCACGTGGTTTCCAGCAGCCGGTATTCACAAGCATTGCTGCCTCCAGCTGTGGAGGAACAGCAGAGCCATCCCGGCTAGGAGCTATGGGGGACTTTGTCCAGTCCTTTTAAAGCCATTCAGGCCATCACTGCCTCCCGTGGCAGGGAGTTCCAAGGCTGAACGATGTACACCTGCCCTGAATCTCCCAACACTGGACGCCCACAAGTTGGACTGTTATGAGAAAGGGAGGGAAGTCCCTCCTCCCCCTTGATCCTTTAGCCCTTTCCCAACTCGGCAATAACCCTTTTGAGGATGCGGCCGCGCCAGAGGGTTGCCTCATGGCAGTGTCATTTTGCTAACGGTCCCCAGGAAGGGCTTTGCTTTTTCCTGGCCGCGCGCATGCGGAGGGCATTTCACGGGCATTTCTCTGCTGCGCGCCCGCCCGGACGCGTGTCTACGCGGCTCTCGCGTTCCGACGTGCACCGCTCTCGCCCGCCCCCTCTCACGTGCTCGGCGTAGAAGCGCATCTCGTCGGCGCGCCCGCGAGGGGCCTCGATCCGCTCGTGGCGCACCAGGGCCGTGACGAGGTTCCGCAGCAGGTCGAGGCGCGAGCGGGGCCCGAGGCCGAGGCGCCGGTAGACGCGCCCATGCTTGATCCACGCCGACGCCGAGAGACGCATCGCGAGCCACCGAGCGCGCCCACGCCGGAAGCGCCCTCGGTCACGTGGCCCGCGGGCCAGAGGGAGGCGGACCCCGCCCGGCCTCGCTGTCATTGGCCGGTGTTCCCGGCGGCGGAAGTCCCGCCCCGTGACGTCAGGGCTCGAGGCCGCCGGTCCAGCCGGTTCAGCGGGGCGGGGCGGCGGGAGGAAGAGGCGGGGCGGCGGGAAAGGGCGCCGCTGGCTTCCCGGGCTGCTTTGAGGAGTCTGCTGGTCAAGCAGGCGGGCAAATGCATGAGAATACCCGACCAGTTGCGATGCCGGAATTCGATTCTGAAGCCCCCAGTGCAATGCCTGTTCCCCTCCAGAATAAATCCTGGCTGTGCCCAAGCCAAAAAGCAGAGATATCACCTTGCCAACAAAGGTCCGTATAGTTCAAGCTCTGGTTTTCCCAGTCGTGATGTATGGAAGTGAGAGCTGGACCATCAAGAAGGCTGATCGCCAAAGAATGGATGCTTTTGAATTCTGGTGCTGGAGGAGACTCTTGAGAGTCCCATGGACTGCAAGAAGATCAAACGTATCCATTCTGAAGGAAATCAGCCCTGAGTGCTCACTGGAAGGACAGATCCTGAAGCTGAGGCTCCAAGACTTTGGCCACCTCATGAGAAGAGAAGACTCCCTGGAAAAGACCCTGATGTTGGGAAAGATGGAGGGCGCAAGGAGAAGGGGACGAGAGGACGAGGTGGTGGGACAGTGTTCTCGAAGCTACGAACATGAGTTTGACCAAACTGCGGGAGGCAGTGGAGGACAGAAGTGCCTGGCATGCTAGAGGGGTCCAGGGGGGCACAAAGAGTCAGGCACGACTAAGCGACTCAACAACAATGCCTATGCCAGCGGCACACATTTCTGCTGTGGTTTTGGACAATTATCAAAGCATTTTTGAGAGATTTTTTTTTTTTTTTAATAATAATTTTATTAAGGTTTTAAACAAAGAAAAAAAAGAAAAACAACACACACAAAAAACAATACAAAACTTAACAATAAAAACAAAACATAACAATTAAAAACAAACTCTCTTTTCCATTTTCAATTTTAGATTACTTATTTTCTGGACTTCCTCATACCTCCTTTTTTTGTATTCCAATCCACATTATTTGTCCAGCAGTTTCTTTTCCACTTTTTTAATCCCAATCTTTAATTTAATAAAATGTTAAAATATATAACTTCAACTTTTTTAAACCTAATCCTTACTCTTAATATCATATAGCTTTAAATTTTCCCCTTTTATTATCAAATTTCCATTTCTTTAAACATCTTTAATCTTAATCTTTAATCTTAATCTATCCTTAACTTTAACCTGTACAGCTGGAAACCACTTATTTTCAATCCAACATCACTCTAACATTCCTTAATTTTGCAGTGTTTCTGAAGATAGTCTTTGAATTTCTTCCAGTCTTCCTCCATCGACTCTTCTCCCTGGTCACGGATTCTGCCAGTCATTTCCGCCAATTCCATATAGTCCATAAGTTTCATCTGCCATTCCTCCAGCGTGGGAAGTTCTTGTGTCTTCCGCATTTTCGAGAGATTTGACTCTGTTCACTTATGCTGCCTACCATCCTATTTTGACTCTCAATACCTTTGAGGTTTTTAAGCAGAGGTCAGTTGGCCCCCTGTCAGGGATGCTTTAGTTATGATTCCTGCATTGGAGGGGGTTGGACTAGGTGATCCCGGGGGTCCCTTCCAACTCTACAATTGATTCAGTGTTTCTGTGAATGTGTGAGAGAAGACTATAGACATGTTGTAAGAAAAAAATCATCTCATTTCTGGGGTCCCGTATAGAGCCCCTTGGGAAGGTCTATATGGGTTTGAGAGAAGAAGGCGAGGCCAACCAGAGTATATGGCAGCAAAGCTATATAGAATGTGTAGACTTAAATTATCATCTTATTTCTTGTGTAAATAATAAACTTTATTGTTTTACCTGTACCCGGTTCTTTGACTTATAGACGTACTATGTAGATCACGGAAGGGCATCATGCAATGTGTGTGGGGGAAACACCATTTGACAGCTTTTATGAATGAGCCCTCATTCACTGAATGGAGTGGATTGACATTGTGAATTGGTGTTATTCATTATAGATACAGTAGATGGCGCTGTGTAGCCGTCAGAGCTCTTTCGCTGCTGGGAAAGGATAAAGTAACTTTATACATAAGTATCACTTATTATACCTATTTTCATTCGGCTGAAGATAATTTCTTATAACGGACACACAGCTCCTGCAGGAAACACCGTCCTGGGGAATGAGGCGGTTCTGGAACGTTGCCTTGGTTGGAGAGTTCTAGGTTGGCTGTGCTCACAATAGGTTACCAAGGGCGCTGGGTAGAGGAAAGATGCACCTGGAACCTGGGCAGTACAGAGGGATGGACGCCTGCTGGCACTGACCATGGCTGGTGGGTACCAGCTTTGGGCACCCTGGTCTCCTCTTGATGAGTCCCTGCAATGGCTGAGGGGTGCCCGGTCTGTTGGCACCAAGCACCCCTTCCGAAGTGGGCAGAGCCCAGCAGCAGCTGACCTGGAAGTGCAGCTTTGCTTCCAGGGACTTAGCCTGGTGTTAGAGCCTGGTGCAAAGATGGGGGCAGGGCAGCTGCAACCTCCTGGAGCCGCAGGAGAGACAAGGGGGCGCTCCAGCAGTGTGCACAGGCCACAGGTCGTGCGCCTCTCAGGGCTTGACTCTGTCTTTGGACACCTCGTGACCGCACAGCCCCCACGCTGGACTGGCTCTCTCAGGGTTTCTGAGCCCTCAGCCTTCAGTCAAGTCATAAGTCCCCGCCAGCGCTGGCCCCGTGGACTCCAGGAGCCACAAGTGCGCGTGGCTATGGCCATGTGCCGACAGATGCTGCGAGCCATCCTTCTTCTCTATGCTGTCTACAAGAAATGTGCTTTTGCCCTGCAACATTCCCGCTGAGAAACGTTCCTGACTAAGAAGGGTCATGGCTATGTGGCACCTTAGCAGATCCCTGTACATGTGCCCCAGCAGGCTGGCCTATTCCCTTGCTCCCCAAAGAACCAGCAGCCTCTATTTCTCAGTCATGTTCCTCCCATTGAGAGACAAAACTTAGTTACCAGTGTCAGACTATAAGGTGTCAGTCCATGGAGGGACACACTTCTCAGTTTGCAGAGTCCACCATATGGCCTTTGATCCCCTACAAAGAAGAAGAGACAAAGGCTTCTATAGAAACTCTGAAGCTATCACCCTTGCAATATGAGTGGCTCTTCAATGGAAGGAGCAGGTCAGATACCAAAAGAGTATAAAAATAAATAGTTCAAGAGCAGTGTAATTTGGATCTAACTTGAATTTTCCCTCTTCCTCATTGATTTATGATATTCAGAGACATGTAGGTTAAATATAATTTGTACATCCTTAGGAGTAAAGGAGATTATTTCCCCAAAAGCTGCCAACCTCTTGTTTTCAACGTGCTAAATGGAGCCTGTAGGGAAAATATTTTAAAATGGAAGCGGAAACCTATTTGTGAAGCAGAGGGACTTTAAATTTTCAGCACTGGAGAAACATTCTGCTCTACTGAATGAAAATGAAAAACGATTGTAAAATTAGTTCAAATATTCATTAGCCAACAAAGGATAATATGTGGAACTGAAGACCACACAGACATGTTTGTGGATTGCCAGGTGGAGGAGTTTTTAGAGCATATATAGACAGATATATATAACCTTTGGCTACGAAAACTCATCTGCCAACCTTCCTCAGCTAATCAAGTGCAGAAATATTTTGATGGTGAATTATCCCCTGTGTCATCTGCCAGTTTTGCCAACTCAGTCTTCCTCTAGATAATTTATGTATAACTAGAAGCACTAGACCGTCCCCCAGTTACCCCCACATAACACAGCAGGGATGCAATAACAAAAGCCCCACAAATGGAGGTCTAAGGTTGTGGCTCAGGTGGGCCTTGATTGACCAGTGGCACTTAACCAGCTACTCACAAGCCCCTCCAATCAGTCAGGGAGAGGTGCTTGAGCCCTTTTGAAAGTTGGCAGGGGGGCTACCACCTGGAGCTATTCCCCCTTCCCTGCAGTTAGAGTACTCAGGGGATTGGTGCTGGTTTATTTAGGACAAAAGTTTGGACTGTGGTTGGGTTCTTGTTTCAGCATCTGGGGCTACATTAGCCCCCTTCAATTCCTAAAGCTGCTTGTCCACATTCAGTGATGCCCCCTGCCAGATCTACGCTTTGGACTTGGAACTCTTTAAGCACTCAGAGTGGGTGACTGAGATGCAGTTAGAGGAATGAGCTGTTCTGGGGTTGGTTGCTAACTGGCAGCAAGAACCCCTCTGTGGAGGGTGGCGACTGGTGGGCATTAATCCTCCCTCCCTGCCATAGGCCAGCCTGCTACCTAAGACTGCCCAAGACCCCCCAGGCCTCCATCCTGCTGGATAAGCAGCATACCATTATGGATATGCCAGGATGCTTGCCCATTTGGAATGGGGAAATGGGATGTTAATGCCACATGTCTAATGGGAATGGGGCTTTTGAATTCTGAATTACAGCTAATGTAGTTATTGCTCACTTTTGTAGGATTCTAATCCACATGGGAATTGCAATTATTCAGTTGCTGAGGAGAAAGCCATTGGCTCTATGTGCTTGGAAGTTAAAAGTTGAGTTATGCTGGGAAACTGGTGGGTGAATGTAGGGGAAGGGCACGTGAGGTGGAGGGAGAGTAGAACGCTCCATTGCACAAGTGGAAATCTTTGCATAGGGCTTCCACTGACAGGACTCGTCAGTTGAATCCCCCCTATACGTCCAGATAGAACAACACTAGAGAATCTGATATTGCAGAACACGCCCTTACAGCCACCTCTGCCATGGAGGTCCACTGGGGTTAGAAGTGAGGGACAATGTTTCTAGGTATGTGCCTTGCTTCATGCTTTTGAAAACCAGGGCAATCATGATTGACAGCTAGATGATAACTTACCAAGGAGGATGGCAGAGGACTGTTGGTTGGAGGTGGTTTCTGGACAGTGCTGTGGAGTCAAAGGGATGCTGGTTTGGTGCGTGATGTGCTGGGCATCATACAGTGGAGTCTGCTGTTTGAGCCAGCTCTTCTAGATGATTTAAAATGTGCAGCTCTGATGATTTAAAATGTCCAGGGAGAGAGGCGGAGGAAGATGGAGAGGAGGTGGAGACAGAGGAGGGGGAGGGGGAGGAAGACGAAGAAGTCACTGGAAATAGAAGCAACAGAATATAAATCAGGAAAAAAGGGTAAAGTGAATACTAATAAAACATAGCAGTGACTCTTAAGTTTTTGTCTTGGCATGTGAACGGTTTGAATGAAAAGTCTAAGAGAAATAAATTTGAGAAGGTTCTAAAGAAAAAGAACATTGATGTGATTTGTTGCCAAGAAACATATGTAGCCAAAAAACACAAACACATTTTAATAAATAAAAAGTTGGGAACAGAGTTTATTAATTCAGATACTAAAAAAAAAAGAGGGGTAGTGATTTATGTGAAGGAGAAATTGGAACCTAAATTAATATGCAAGGACGAGGAAGGAAGAATTTTAGGAGTACAAATTAATCATCAGGGAGAAAAACTCAACGTGGTAACGGTTTATGCGCCAAATACAAATAAAATGGAATTTTTAAAGAAATTGGAACAAATATTATTAGATCTAGAGAATAATAAATTGGTTTTGCTTGGAGACTTAAATGGAGTGCCAACACCAGAATTAGATAGAAGTGTGAAAAGAAAGAATTTAAACCAAGGGAAACTACCAAGATTGTTTAACAACCTTGAGGAAAACTTAGATTTAATAGATATATGGAGACATAAAAATCCAACGACGAAACAATTCACTCATTTTTCTTTTTTTTAAAAAAATAATATTTATTACTTTTCCAGCAATTTAAACATTACAAAAAAAGAATAAACAATACAATACAATACAAAAACAATACAAAACACTTAACATATTAAACTAACCAAACAGTTTCAATATCTTATCTTTCATTCACTTATTTCAGTGACCTCCTCACACCTCCCTTTTTGTATTCCACTTCTGTTAATTGTTTCAGCAATTCCTTTCCATCTTCCTCTGTTTTCTATCCTATAATTATCTTAACACATTTTAACCTTATTTTTCCCTTTAATTTTCTATTAATCTATTTATACTTAATTCCTTATAACATTTCTACTAAAGCCATATAACTTCATTCCAACATTTTTATAACATTCATTAATTTTACAGTATTTCTGTAAGTAGTCTTTACATTTTTTCCAATCTTCAAATGGACTGTTTCAAGAGGTGGCAGAGAGATATTTCTAGATTTGTCTGGCAGGGCAAGAAGCCCAGAATAAAATTTAAAATACTAACGGACGCAAAGGAAAGAGGTGGATTTGCCCTGCCAGACCTCAAACTTTATTATGAATCAGCAGCTTTTTGCTGGTTGAAAGAATGGCTGCTTCTTGAAAACACTGACATTTTGGATTTAGAAGGTTTCAACAATGTATTTGGATGGCATGCATATCTGTGGTATGATAAGGTCAAAGCACATAAAGCATTTAAAAACCATATTGTCAGGAAAGCATTGTTTAATGTTTGGATAAGATATAAGGATTTATTGGAAAATAAAACCCCAAGGTGGCTGTCACCGATGGAAGCGAAAGCCTTGAAAAAGCTCAATATGGAGGTCAAATGGCCGAAATATTGGGAAATTTTGGAACAAGATGGAGATAGATTGAAATTGCAGATTTTTGAAAAACTAAAAAATAAAGTGCGAGATTGGCTTCATTATTATCAGATAATGGAGGCATACAATTTGGACAAGAAAATCGGCTTCCAGGTGGAAAAATCAAAATTAGAAACAATTGTTAGAACCCAAAACTAAAATTTTGTCAAGAATGTATAACTTGCTGTTGAAATGGAATACTCAGGATGAAACGGTGAAATCTGCTATGATTAAATGGGCACAAGATGTTGGACATAATATTATGTTCGCTGACTGGGAACAGTTGTGGACCACAGGTATGAAATTTACGGCATGTAATGCCTTAAGAGAAAATATTATGAAAATGATATACAGGTGGTACATAACCCCAGTCAAGCCTGCAAAAATCTACCATTTGCCTGATAATAAATGTTGGAAATGTAAAGAAACTGAAGGTACATTTTTCACCTTTGGTGGACGTGCCCAAAGATTAAGGCTTTCTGGGAGATGATATATAATGAACTAAAAAGGTATTTAAATATACCTTCCTGAAGAAACCAGAGGCCTTTCTCCTGGGCATAGTCGGCCAATCGATGTTAAAAAGGACAGAACTTTCTTTATGTATGCTACAACAGCAGCAAGAATACTCATTGCAAAGCATTGGAAGACACAAGATCTACCCACACTGGAGGAATGGCAGATGAAAATGATGGACTACATGGAATTGGCGGAAATGACTTGTAGAATCTGTGACCAGGGAGAAGAGTCGGTGGAAGAAGATTGGAAGAAATTTAAAGACTATTTACAGAAATATTGCAAAATTAATGAATGTTAGAATGATGTTGGATTGAAGTTAAGTGGTTTCCAGCTGTATAGGTACAAAAGAATATGGAAAAATTGGTTTTCAATATGTAAAAATTTAAGGTTATAATATATCAAGATTAAAGATTAGGATTAAAAAGGAGGGAAAGGAATTGTTGGATCAACAAATTTAATTGGAATACGAAAGAGGGAGGTATGAGGAGGTCCAGGAAACAAGTAAATGTAAAAGAAGTGAGGAAAAGTTGGAATTGTTTTTAACTGTTTTTTCTTTTTTTCTACTTTGTATTTTTCCTTTTCATTGTTAATTTTTTTTTTACTAATGTGATTCTTTTTTTCCTTTGAAACTTTAATAAATATTATTTTAAAAAAATAAAATAATTTTTTTCCAATCTTCTTCCACCAACTCTTCTCCCTGGTCTCGGATTCTGCCAGTCATTTCCGCCAATTCCATATAGTCCATCAACTTCATCTGCCATTCTTCCCGGGTGGGTAAATCTTGTGTCTTCCAATATTTCGCGATGAGTATTCTTGCTGCTGTAGTTGCATACATTAAAAAAGTTCTATCCTTCTTTGGCACCAATTGGCCGACCATGCCCAGGAGAAAGGCCTCTGGTTTCTTCAGGAAGGTATATTTAAATACCTTTTCATTTCATTATAAATCATTTCTCAGAATGTCTTAATCCTTGGGCATGTCCACCAAAGGTGGAAGAATGTACCTTCAGTCTCATTACATTTCCAACATTTATTGTCGGGCAGATGGTAAATTTTTGCAAGCTTGACTGGTGTCATGTACCACCTATAAATCATTTTCATTAAATATAAATCATTTTCATTAAATTTTCTCTTAGGACATTACATGCCGTAAATTTCATACCTGTGGTCCATAACTGTTCCTAGTCAGCCATCATTATGTTATGTCCAACATCTTGTGACCATTTAATCATAGCTGATTTCACCATTTCATCCTGAGTGTTCCATTTCAACAGCAAGTTATACATTCTTGATAAATTCTTAATTTTTGGTTCTAACAATTCAGTTTCCGAGTTTGATTTTTCCACCTGGAAACCAACTTTTTTGTCCATATTGTACGCCTCCATTATTTGATAATAATGGAGCCAATCTCACACTCTGTTTTTCAATTTTTCAAAGCTCTGCAATTTTAATCTGTCTCCATCTTGTTCCAGAATTTCCCAATATTTCCGCCATTTGGCCTCCATATTGAGTACCTTCGCTTCCATTGGTGACAACCATCTTGGGGTTTTCTTTTCTAACAAATCCTTATATCTTATCCAGACATTAAACAGTGCTTTTCTAACAATATGATTTTTAAACGCTTTATGTGCTTTTACCTTATCGTACCACAAGTATGCATGCCAACCAAATACATTATTGAAACCTTCTAGGTCCAACACATCAGTGTTTTCACTCATTTTTCAGAGCCACATCAGAGAATTAACAATAAGAGTGGTGAAATGTGAGATACAACCCATAACCCTATCTGACCACAGCTCAATAGTGTTCCAGTTAAAATATGAAACTCAGGGTACGTACAGGTGGAGAATGAACGATTACCTATTTGAAAATGAGGAGGTGATTGGAAAAGTTAAATCCATTTTGAAAGAATACTTTGATTTAAATATTAACAAAGAAACAAACATGAATATAGTTTGGGACGCCAGTAAGGCAGTTTTAAGAGGCTTCTTGATCCAACAAAACAGTTATAGGAAAAAGGCGAGAGAACAAAAAAGAAGAAGAGATACTTGCTCAATTAAGAGAATGTGAAAAGAATTTAATAATGAAACCGAATGGAGAAAGAAATAAGCAATTGTATAAGATGTTCCAAACACCAATATTCAATATTAATAAATCAAGAGGTGGAATGGGGAATTAAATCAATGAAACAAAAAATTTTTGAGTCAGCGAATAAAACTGGAAAATTTCTAGTGTGGCAATTAAGAAAAGGGAGAAAACAAAATGTAATTAACAAAATAAAAACAGAAGAACAACTCTTGGAGGACCCTAATGAAATAAAAAAGAGCTTCCTTAATTTTTATGAAAAATTATATAAGAGAGAAGAAGAAGATGTGACAGAAATAGGAAGATATCTAGAAGACAACAGAGTTAGAGGCTTATCGGAGGAGGAGAAAAGTCTACTAAACAAACCGATAAAAATGGAGGAAATTCAAGACGCGATAAAGAAGATGAAATTAGGGAAAGCCCCGGGACCTGATGGTTTATCAGCCAAGTATTACAAAGTTCTAGAATAACTTTTAACTCCGGTGCTTTGTGAAGTAATGAACGAGATTTTAAGAGGAGGAAGAATACCAGATTCCTGGAAAGAAGCATACATCATATTAATACCCAAACCAGACTTGGACAAGCTTAACATCAAGAACTATAGACCGATTTCATTATTAAATAATGATTATAAAATCTTTGCAGAAGTAATGATGAATAGGTTTAAAAAGTGTTTAGTCAATTTTATTCATAATGATCAAGCTGGATTTCTACCCAATAGGCAACTAAAGGATAACATAAGACATGTAATAAATATTATCGAATACTTGGAGTGTAAAAATGAAATTCCCACGGTACTAATGTTTATTGATGCCGAAAAGGCGTTCGACAATGTATCCCGGCAATTCTTAATAAAATGCATGGAAACAGCAGGGATAGAGGGCACATTCCTGGAAGGAATAAAAGCAATTTATTAGTACCAAAGGGCTAAATTAATTATAAATAATAATTTGACTGATTTTTTTGAAATTTCGAAGGGTACAAGACAGGGGTGCCCTCTGTCACCTCTCTTGTTTATTATGGTATTAGAAATAATTGCAAATAAGATAAGGAAAACTTCAGAGATACGCGGAATAAAAATTGAAGTAAAAGAATATAAATTGAAAGCATATGCTGATGATTTGATGTTGTCGTTAGAAGATCCACAAAAAAGTGTTGGTAAAGTGTTAGAATTGCTTGAGGAATTTGGAAAGTTATCCGGTTTTAAACTAAATAGAATAAAAACTAAAATGATGACTAAAAATATGAAGGAAGAACAAAAAAACCATCTTGAATTACAGACTGGGATTAAAGTAATAAAAAAAGTAAAATACCTGGTGTCAGGGCTGCCTCAAGTCTCAGCTCACAAAAGACCAACGCCTATGTCTTCTTATATACAAAAGTGTTTATTGCAGTTCATTGTTTGCTTGACATCCTAGGCGCGCAGCCCTACGTCTGCTACGCTTAGACCGCTGAAGTCCCCTCTGAATCCGTCCCTCCCCTGCACCAGTTTAAGAGGCTTGCGCTGCTCCACCTCTTTCTCTCTTTCCTTTTCCGCAGGGTCCTTCTGCCCGCTGGGGTTTCGCCCCTCCTGGATTCCTCTGACGCGGAATCAGACTGCTCTTGCCCCCTCCTGCGGGCTTTGGGACCTGGCCCCTCCTCCGGGCTCCCTGTACTTCCGCGCGCCTCTACATTTGAACTTGGCGCGCGCGCCCAGCCTCTAACCTTCCTTTCAACAGCTACACTACTCCCTTCACTGCTCCCTCCCCTTCCGGGAGGATGGCTTGCTCCGACCTCCCTCCTTTCTCTGCTGCCGGAGCCGCTTCCCCTGACACACTGAAACCTCCACCCCCTTCGCTGCACTCTGGCGGGGAGGCTGGTCCTGACACCCAGCTGCCACTTTGGGATGCCCAGCTGGCCCCCTGCTCCTGACACGTCCCCCCTGGGGCTCCCCTGGGCTTGACCACCGGCGCCCCCTTCTGGGAATCCTCTGATTCGCTGGAAAGACTCATGGAATCTCTTGAGTCATTGTCATCCTCTTCCTCGCTGTCCTGGGATTCATCCCCATCGCTCTCCATCTCCTGCCTACCCTGTGCCTCTGTCCCTGAACCCCTGACATCCATCCCCCCCTCGAAGCCCCCCCTTCCCCCCTCCCGCTGCTCGGGCGCAGGTTCCGGGAGCTCCGTTGTAGCGGGGGTAGATGCTGGATACAGTTCGTCGACGTCGATCTCCTCTGCTTCCAGTTCAGTGTAGGAGTGCTCGAAACCGGGGTCCTCCCCTAACACATCCAAACCCCTCCCTCCGCCTGTTACTTCAGGCGAAGCTGCTTGCCAAGGCCCCCTCCGCCACCCCACTTCTGGTTGATCGTCCCACCAATAAGAGCGGTCCGTGTCCACCCCCGAGCACGATCCCCTTGGAGGGCTCGATTCCGGCGTGGTCTCCTCTGCGGAGGAGAACCCCCGGAAGGTGCTGCCTGAAAGTGTGGGGGTAAAAGCCAGTCGTCAAAATACTCCGCTGGCATGGGCCTGTGTGGGAAGAGTGCATGGAACTCGTCTTTAAGAAAAGGTTCCTCCAGAGCATAATCTGGCACCCAACTGTTGGCGCTGGCCGGGGTACCTTCCCTGGCGAGGAGGTATTCCACTCCCTCCTCCCCCCATCTCGAGTCCAGAATTTCCGTGACCTCGTTGAGTGTCGGGGTCCTCGGTGACTTCCCCCCCCGGTGACTTTCTACGTGGGTCTGGTGCCGTCCCTGGCTCCTGAAATCTGTGTGGGGCCTTGTAGGGTGTGAGCACCGACCTATGAAAGACCGGGTGCATTCGGGAATCCTCTGGGAGGGTCAACCGAAAAGCTACGGGATTGATCCTGCCCTCAACTTGGTATGGCCCTAGCTGTTTGTGTCCTAGCTTCTTCTTAGCTAACGACTTGGCCGGCACCGCCTGGGCTGCTAACCATACCCAGTCCCCCACCTGGATGTCTTCTCCTGCCCTCCTGTGCCTGTCTGCCTGCACTTTGTAGGCGTGTTTAGCTAGTTCCAAGTGCCGTCGTAGCTCCTCGTGGACCTCCTGCAATTCTGCTGCTAAATGCTCCGCTCCCTGCGACTCCCCCTGCGTCGTTGTCTCCAACGCCGGGAAGGTTCTGGGATGTCGCCCATTGTTGGCGAAGAACGGTGTCACCCCCGTTGACGCGTGCTTCGTGTTGTTGTAGGCAAACTCGGCCATCGGTAAGTAGTCCACCCAAGTTGCAGGCTTTTGATTGGCGTAACATCGCAGGTACTGCTGCATGATGGCGTTGACCCTCTCCGCTTGGCCGTTGGTTTGCGGGTGTCTCGCCGACGCTAAGTTGATCTTGACATTCAGGATGCCCAGGAGCTTCTGCCAGAAACTGGAAATGAATTGGCGACCCCGGTCGGACAGGATGGACCGCGGTAAGCCGTGCACCCGGAACACGTGGTCTATGAACAGCTTGGCGGTCTGTTCCGCTGTTGCCACCTTCGCGCAAGGAATGAAGTGCGCCATCTTGGTGAACAGATCTACAACCACAAGCACCGCCGTCTTGCCCCGCGAACTGGGCAGATCAGTAACAAAGTCCAGCGCCACCCTTTCCCACGGCTGCAGTGGCGTCTCCAGCGGTTCCAGCAATCCCGCTGGCTTCTTGTGCACTGGCTTGGACCTCTGACAAGTGTCACACCTGGCGACGTAATCCGCGACCTCTCCCCGCATCTGGGGCCACCAAAAGTCTCTGGCTACTAAGTCCGCCGTCTTTTCTTTGCCGAAGTGACCCGCGCTGGGGCGTCGTGTAACTGCTGTAAAACCTTCGCGCGGAGATCGTCTCCCGGCACGTAGAGAGCACCTTTGCGGGTCAGCAGGCCGTCGCGTATCTGGAATTCGCCGTCCTTTGCTGTCCCTCTTCGCACCTCCTCCATCTTGGATTGTGCGAACGGATCCGTCTTTAGCGCGCGTCGTACCGCGTCCAGGTCCACGGCGGCGGAAGCGCACGCCCACGCTTGCGGTGCGAAAATGTGCCTGGCTGCCACTGGTGCCGCTTCCTCGAGATACTGCGGTTTCCTGGAGAGCGCATCCGCTATGACGTTGTTGTCTCCCGGGATATACTCTATCCGGAAATCGAAATCCGCAAAGAACTCCGCCCATCTCATGTGCCTCTGGCTCTGGAGCTTCGCCGTGCGCCAATACTCTAGGTTCTTGTGGTCCGTGCGGACCTGCACGGTGTGCTTGGCTCCGATGAGGAAATGCCGCCACGCCTTGAAAGCCGCGTGGATGGCCAACAACTCCCTGTCCCAGATGGTGTAGTTCTGTTCCGACTTGCTGAGCTTCCGGGAATAGAAAGCGCAGGGCCTCCAGTTCCCTTGCGGATCTTCCTGCAAGAGGACGGCCCCCACTGCTCTGTCAGATGCGTCAGTCTCAACCCGCATGGGCCTGCCGGGATTCACGTGTAGCAGCTGGTCTTCGGACGCGAAGAGACTCTTAAGTCTCCTGAAGGACTGCTCCGCCTGGTCCGTCCAGGTGAACTTCTTCTTCTTGGAACTGAGGGTGTCCGTGATAGCTGCCGTCTCTTTCGCGAAACCCCTGATGAACTTGCGGTAAAAGTTGGCGAAGCCGACGAACCTCTGGACCTCCTTCCGATTGCGCGGGCTATTCCAGTCCAACACCGCGCGGACTTTGGCGCTGTCCATGGCTAGTCCCTTGTCGGACAGCCGGTAGCCCAGGAAATCCACCTCCGTCACGTCGAACTGGCACTTCTCCAGCTTGGCGTAGAGTCTGTGCTCCCGTAGCCTCTGCAGGACCTCCTTTACGTCTCTTTCGTGAGTCTCCTGCGATTCTGAGAAGATCAGAATATCGTCGAGAAAGCATACGCACTTCTTGTAGAGGAGTCCTGCTAGCACGTGGTGCATGAATGCTTGGAAACAGTGGGAGCCATTTTGGAGACCAAACGGCATAACTCTGTATTCATAGGTGCCCAGCGGCGTGAACATGGCCGTCTTCCACTCGTCACCTTCCCTCATGCGTATTAGATTGTATGCTCCGCGTAGATCCAACTTGGTGAAGATCCTCCCCTTCCTCACCGTCGCGAGCAGGTCGTCAATCTTGGGCATGGGGAAAGCCTTGGGCTTTGTCATCGAGTTTATGGCCCTATAGTCCACAATGAGCCGTTTTTGGGGCGTGTCCTTCTTCTTCACGAAAAACACAGGACTGCCCCCCACTGCCTTGGATTCTCGGATGAATCCCCGCTTCAAATTGTGATCTATGAACTCCCTGAGTTCCTGCATCTCATCTTCAGACATGGAATACAGCTTCGCAGTCGGTAGCGTCGCCCCTGGTAAGAGGTCAATTGCACAGTCGTAGGGCCGGTGGGGTGGTAATTGGTCAGCTTCCTTCTCGCAGAAGACCTCCAAAACCCCTTGTACTTGTGGGGCACTGCCTGCACCATGCCTAGATGCAACTGTTGCCCTTCCTCCTGGCCCTCCTCCTCCTGGCCGATCTGGATGCAATGTTGTGCGCAGTAGGACGAGCCAAAGGTGAGCTGCCGCTGGTACCACGCCAATGATGGGCTGTGTCTGTCCAGCCAACTCATGCCTAACACTATGGGCGTGTCTGACAGTTGGGTGACATTGAAACTGATGACCTCGCGATGATTCCCAATTTTCAGCAGCATGGGTGGCGTCTGTTGTACCACTTGCCCACCCAGCAACTTCCTGCCATCTACGGTGACCACGTTCAGAGGCAGCGTGGCTGGTAGTAGCGCTATGCGATGCTGCTTGATGAACTGCATCCCCACGAAGTCTGCGTTGCTCCCTGAGTCAATCGTAATGGGGACTTCCAGGGTGAGTCCATTAGGCAGCTGGAGAGTAGCAGTGAGCTGCACCACTGGCTTGGGTGGTAAGGGGTCTGTAGGCTGCAAAAGCGCTGGGGACTGCTTCACTGACTTGCCTGGCGGAGCCCCAGCATCTCTGCTTCCAGCCAGGCATTCTCGTTTCCCTGAAACTGTTCCCCTTGGAACGCTTCCCCTGTTACTGTTGCTAAGGCTGCAGTGTGCTTCTGGAGCCTCTGGGGACACTCTTTAGCCATGTGCCGTGCACTGTCACAGATGTAACACTTCCTGGTCCCTCTAGGAGGCTTCGCCTTGACTGCTCCGGACGCTGAGGCTCCGGCAGCTGTCTGAGCCTTTGCACCACCCAGCTCCATTGGTTCTTCCCCCCCTTTCAGCATAGGCGAGGGGTTTGTACGTCCCAGGTCCCTGGGAGGAAAAGGAGGCGCTCTAGCTGGTGGGCGGACGTGACGCCCCTCCTCACTGTGCCAAGGGCGTTCTTCGTGGCGCACCCCTATCGTGAGTGCCCTCTGCACGACGTCTGCTAGGGTTTGAGGTCTGTCTCCCCTAGCCAGCTCATCTTTTACTGAGCCATGAAGCCCCTCCCAGAACAAGTCCCTCACTGCCAGGGAGTCCTTTTCCCAGCCCAGCACATTCAGCAATGCAAAAAAGCGAGAATGGTACTGACGCACTGTAGCCTTGCCCTGCCGCAATCCATGCATCTCCTGGCGCGCCACATCAACGTCAACGGTAGATTGGAAGCAAGCGTCCATGGCTTTGATAAATTCGTCAGAGTCCCTGCGTGCAAGACCATCTTCGCGCCACAAATTGCGTAACCAGGTTCTAGCTTCCCCATGCAAATGGGACACAATAAAGCCTACTTTCTCCTCCTCATCTTTGAAGTCGTTTCGAAGCAAATGCAGCGCGTATACGACGTCTGCTCTGAAATTGGGATAATGCTTCAGGTTCCCATCGAAGTGGGCTACTAAATTGCCCCCCTCCGTCCGAGTCCGATTCCCTCTGATCTGGACCCCGGGAACCCCTCTTTGCACGCCCGATCCCACCTGGCTTGCAGATCCTGGCATCGCGCTTCTGCGTCGGCAACTGTCTTCTGAGAGACCCGTACTGCAACGGAGAGTTCAGTGACTGCGTTTTGCAGGGTCGTTATCTGCTCCTCAGTAGTCATCTCTGCCAAACTTCGTGAGCTTTGCAAAAAAAAATTTTGCGGTTTTTTTGAGAGGGGACTTACTGTCAGGGCTGCCTCAAGTCTCAGCTCACAAAAGACCAACGCCTATGTCTTCTTATATACAAAAGTGTTTATTGCAGTTCATTGTTTGCTTGACATCCTAGGCGCGCAGCCCTACGTCTGCTACGCTTAGACCGCTGAAGTCCCCTCTGAATCCGTCCCTCCCCTGCACCAGTTTAAGAGGCTTGCGCTGCTCCACCTCTTTCTCTCTTTCCTTTTCCGCAGGGTCCTTCTGCCCGCTGGGGTTTCGCCCCTCCTGGATTCCTCTGACGCGGAATCAGACTGCTCTTGCCCCCTCCTGCGGGCTTTGGGACCTGGCCCCTCCTCCGGGCTCCCTGTACTTCCGCGCGCCTCTACATTTGAACTTGGCGCGCGCGCCCAGCCTCTAACCTTCCTTTCAACAGCTACACTACTCCCTTCACTGCTCCCCTCCCCTTCCGGGAGGATGGCTTGCTCCGACCTCCCTCCTTTCTCTGCTGCCGGAGCCGCTTCCCCTGACACACTGAAACCTCCACCCCCTTCGCTGCACTCTGGCGGGGAGGCTGGTCCTGACACCCAGCTGCCACTTTGGGATGCCCAGCTGGCCCCCTGCTCCTGACACGTCCCCCCTGGGGCTCCCCTGGGCTTGACCACCGGCGCCCCCTTCTGGGAATCCTCTGATTCGCTGGAAAGACTCATGGAATCTCTTGAGTCATTGTCATCCTCTTCCTCGCTGTCCTGGGATTCATCCCCATCGCTCTCCATCTCCTGCCTACCCTGTGCCTCTGTCCCTGAACCCCTGACACCTGGGAATCTGGCTAACCATGAAAAACATAAACTTAATGGAAGACAACTACACAAACACCTGGAAAGAAATAAAGAAGGACTTGGATACCTGGAACAGGATAAAACTCTCTTGGTCGGGAAGAATGGCGGCAATTAAGATGAGCTTACTGCCGAAATTGCTGTTTCTATTCCAAAATATACCGATAATTAGGGGAACCTCAGTTTTCAAAGATTGGCAGAAAGTGCTCTCCAAATTTATTTGGCAAGGAAAAAGGCCAAGAATCAGATTTAAATTACTCATGGATCAAAGAGATAGGGAGGATTTGCGGTTCCAAATTTGAAGCTATACTATGAAGCCTCGTGCCTTTGCTGGCTTAAAGACTGGATTGTTATAAAAAACACAGACCTGTTGGACTTGGAAGGTTTCAATATAAGATTCAGTTGGCATGCATACTTATGGCGCAATAAGGAAAAGGTCCACAAAGGATTCTCTAACCATATCATCAGAGGGCCACTGTTGGAAGTATGGGAGAGAAATAAAAGATTACTGGAAAGAAGCACTCCCTGGTGGTTATCGCCAATTGACATCCTAACAACAACAAAAAAATGAATATTGAAGGAGAAAGATGGACTTATGAAGATCTGTTAGTTAAAACAGAAAAAGGATGGAAGATTAGACCATACGAAGAGATAAAGAATAAACTAACAGGGTGGATTCAATTTCATCAAATCAATGCTTTGTGGACCGAAGACAAAAAGATTGGGATGAACGAAAAAAAATCCAGATTCCAGGTAGAAATATTGGAAGGCAAATCAAAACTTCTATCCAAAATGTACAGCCAGTTGCTAGAATGGGACACTAAAGATGAAGAAATAAAAGAAGTAATGGTGAAATGGGCGATAGACTTTGGATATAATGTAGAGTACGATAGTTGGAAGAAACTTTGGAATAAAGGCATGAAATTTTCAGCTTGTACAACACTTAGAGAGAACATGGAAAAATGATGTATAGGTGGTACATCACACCTGTAAAATTAGAAAAAAAGTATAAAACCGGAGACAAAACATGCTGGAAATGTAAAATTAAGGAAGGCAATTTTTACCACATGTGGTGGACTTGTGAGGTAATCAAAAGTTCTGGAAACTTATTTACAATGAATTAAAAAAAATACTTAAATATACCTTCACAAAAAACCTGAGGCCTTCCTTTTGGGGATAATTGGAGAAGAAATAAAAAGGACCAAATATTTTTCCAATACGCAACAGTGGCTGCTAGAATACTAATAGCACAAAATTGGAAGACAACAAAAATCCCAACTGTAAACGATTGGCAAATTAAATTATTTGAATACATAGAATTGGCAAAAATGACACAAAAAATAAGGAACCAAAAAGGTACAAAGTTTAATGGAATAAATTTATGACATATATTGAAACAGATGTAAGAAATTTAAAAATCACAGTAGGCTTGATATAGCGTCTGCGATGCAAAGAGATCTAAGAAAGTGAAACTGCAGATAGAAATCTTTTTGTAACATACTCCAAAACCGAGTTGAAGGGAAGTCAACTATTGTTGTGTTATTTAGCTACTGTAAGTTTAATTTGTTGGTGTTTTTTAGTTATGTACTGTTGTTCGTTTCTTTTTTGTTCTTTTATTTTGTCTTTTTTGTTGTATCAGTGTTTGGTGTTGTATAGTGATTTGAAACTAATAAAAAGAATTTTTTTTAAAAAATGCAGCTCTGTCTTTTCAGGGATTAGTGTTGCCTCAAGGGGCTAGTGACAGTGTTAGAGGGCTGCAGAGATCCCTTGGCCTCTTTATGAAGGTTGGTTTAGAGGTGGCTTCTATAAAAGTGGGGACAAGGGGATCCTGGAGAGAGAAGCACAGATCCCTTTACTGGATGCACCTGAGATCAAAATACAGGGAACCAGTAAGTGCTCTAAGAAAGCACCCTATATACTCCTGCCTGAACTTGAAAATCTCCTGTGTATTTCTTGCCTTATACCAAGGATAACAGTTTGCATCTGGATCACCATGCAAAGGAGTTTTTCTGTGAAGCCCACCCACCCACCCACTGAATAGAAGGAAGGGGGAGGTACCTGGTGGTGTTCATTGACCAATGCTGCCACCAGCCTTTCAGACACAGCTTTTGTGTGAGTGTTTTCGCGGAGTCTCCCCCAGGAATTTCTTGGCTGCAAGTTCTCAGTCATCAGATTTCATTGAGCTGGTCACATCACAGGCAAACATGTACCATACATCACTTGCGATAAGGTTGTTATCCAGTATATCCTGTGTCATCTGTGCATCCATTTTCACAACGCACTCACTATAGCAACTGGCATACTAGGTGGGGATCAAGTGAGGAATTGTGGGGGAGAAGAGGAAATTCCTACTGAAGACAGGAAAACTTAAAATGCCTATTGAAACAGCCGCGCTTAAAGGGAAAAGCTGTTGATTGTGTGCAGCTTACAGGCATTGCATGAATAAAACAAACTTATCCACCCTTTGGAGCAAACTGTGATCTAGACTTTTGCATTATGGATATGCATGTCAAATTCTGTCTTTTTCAGTGATTTGTAATATACCGTTTTTGACTGGAAACCTTTTGCATGACACACTCCAATAAATGGTTTGCGTTTTTGCTTGGTGTCTTTGTGGTCAACTCTTCTGTGAGGCAAAGGTTTTACTTACACAGGTTGAGACCTAAGGGAAGCTGAGGCTCACAGAGAGAGGGACTCACAACCACCAAATTTCTGTGTTGTTGTTTGTTGTTTAGTCGTTTAGTTGTGTCCGACTCTTCGTGACCCCATGGACCAGAGCACGCCAGGCACTTCTGTCTTCCACTGCCTCCCGCAGTTTGGTCAAAAATTCTGTCAGATTTCTGTGTAGCAACTTCAAAACAAAACAAAAATTCTCCACAAAGGAGTGATGAGCAAGAAATGTTTCTGTACTCCTTGGATGGGTTTGGGGGCAAGGTGGGCATTGCCATGTGCAGGTAGGAATATCCCTGGCCAGCAGGAGGAGCTCTGCATGCAAACTACTACTGTGTGCACCGTTCTTCAACCCAATCCATGACAAGGAGAGCACATGGGCAAGCAGTCTGGAAATATGAGTGCAGCTGAATGATGGCAATGGGAAGCAGAAAGAACCACAGGGGGAGTCGAAAATGGGTTGTACTTGGTCCAGTACCAAGTAATGCTGTCAGTACGGGGATTTAAGCTTGTGCAAACTCACCCCCATGCCCATTAGAAACAGATTTTGGGGTATCCCCTACCCTCATGAACAGAATTGGGAAGAGGGGAAATTTTTATTGCTGTACCAACATCTATTTCACTAATGGAAGAATTGTTCTTCCTGGAGCATTAGCTTTTTTTGCTGCTGCATCACACTGTTGACTCGTTAAACTTGTGGTCCACCAAAACCCTTAGATCCTTTTCACATGTACTGCAAGTAAGCCAGGTGTTCCCCATCTTATATTTGTGCATCTGGTTCTTCCTGCCTAAGTGCAGAAACTGACATTTGTCCCTATTGAAATTCATTTTGTTAGCTTGTGCCAAATTCTCCAATCTGTTATGGTCATTTTGAATTCTGATTCTTTAATCTGCAGCATTAGCTCCCTCTCCCAGTTTGGTGTCATCTGCAAATTGGATGAGCATCCTCTCAATTGCTCATCCAGGTTTGAGTCCCAACTGATATCGGGGAAATTGAAGCCCGCATGATTACAATACCTTTCCCTTTTGAATGTTCGGTAATCTGTAATTCCTCCATTGCTTCACTGACAATTTCATTTCCCAGAAGGTGGAGGAAGCAACAAGGGGATCATCTATATTGGACCTGGTCCTCACCAACAAAGAGGAACTGATTGATGAAATGGAAGTACTGGGAACCTTGGGAGAAGCGATCATGTCCTCTTGGGTTTCATGATATAGAAGGAAGGGAAAGCTGGGTGTGGTCTGACATGCACTCTGGAATTTAAGAAAACTTAAGGAACTATTGAGTGAGATTCCATATTCAGAAATACTCAAAAAGAAGGGAGTCGAAGATGAAGGGGAGATTCTTAAAGTTGAAATATTGATGGCACAAATGCAGACAATTCCAACAAGAAAGAAAAATGGGAGACATCTAAGGAAACCATTGTGGCTGCATAAGAAGCTTACAGACAAGCTGAGAGTTAAGAAGGGCATGTATAAGAAATGGAAGAAAGGGGAAATCACTAAGGAAGAGTATACACGAGTAGTCAACAGTTGCAGGGGAAAGTCAGGCTGGCCAAAGCTCAGAATGAGCTCAAACTTGTAATTTTAAAAGGTTCCTCTGGCTATGTTTGAAGCAAGTAGTAATTGTGCTGGGTGACTGCCCAGCACAGAACACCCTCTGCTGTGGGGCTCGCAGGACTTTCCCTCTGATTGGCAGGCAGGCTTCTTCTACTGGGTGTGTCCTGGCCTACAGGCTGACTGATTGACTGCAGCCTTGGAAATAGGAGGGCCATGGACATCATCCAGAGTCCCTGCCTCCATGTCTTGATTGAGAGTTATACCAGCGACTGACTGATCGAGAGAGGAGATTGTCAATATCAGGATTGGAAAATTGTGAAGTAACAAAGAAGATAGCAGAAAGATAAAGGATGGATATTTAGCTCTTGAAATCCAGAACATGGGAAGTCCCATTGAAATTAAATAATTCGGACTCTAGAATCATAGAATCATAGAGTTGGAAGAGACTACAAGGGCTATCGAGTCCAACCCCTGCCAAGCAGGAAACACCATCAGAGCACTCCTGACATATGGTTGTCAAGCCTCTGCTTAAAGACCTCCAAAGAAGGAGACTCCACCACACTCCTTGGCAGCAAATTCCACTGTCAAACAGCTCTTACTGTCAGGAAGTTCTTCCTAATGTTTAGGTGGAATCTTCTTTCTTGTAGTTTGGATCCATTGCTCCGTGTCCGCTTCTCTGGAGCAGCAGAAAACAACCTTTCTCCCTCCTCTATGTGACATCCTTTTATATATTTGAACATGGCTATCATATCACCCCTTAACCTCCTCTTCTCCAGGCTAAACATGCCCAGCTCCCTTAGCCGTTCCTCATAAGGCACCGTTTCCAGGCCTTTGACCATTTTGGTTGCCCTCCTCTGGACACGTTCCAGTTTGTCAGTGTCCTTCTTGAACTGTGGTGCCCAGAACTGGACACAGTACTCCAGGTGAGGTCTGACCAGAGCAGAATACAGTGGCACTATTACTTCCCTTGATCTAGATGCTATACTCCTATTGATGCAGCCCAGAATTGCATTGGCTTTTTAGCTGCCGCGTCACACTGTTGGCTCATGTCAAGTTTGTGGTCAACCAAGACTCCTAGATCCTTTTCACATGTACTGCTCTCAAGCCAGGTGTCACCCATCTTGTATTTGTGCCTCTCATTTTTTTGCCCAAGTGCAATACTTTACATTTCTCCCTGTTAAAATTCATCTTGTTTGTTTTGGCCCAGTTCTCTAATCTGTCAAGGTCGTTTTGAAGTGTGATCCTGTCCTCTGGGGTGTTAGCCACCCCTCCCAGTTTGGTGTCATCTGCAAATTTGATCAGGATGCCCTTGAGTCCATCATCCAAGTCGTTGATAAAGATGTTGAATAAGACCGGGCCCAAGACAGAACCCTGTGGCACCCCACTAGTCACTCTTCTCCAGGATGAAGAGGAACCATTGATGAGCACGCTTTGGGTTCGGTCAGTCAGCCAGTTACAAATCCACTGAGTGGTAGCATAGTCAAGACCGCATTTTACCAGCTTCTTTACAAGAATATCATGGGGCACCTTGTCAAATGCCTTGCTGAAATCAAGGTAGGCTCTATAATTGGCTGTATTGTTTTTTGTTTTTGAATGTGGTAAGATTTGGCTTGATTTGTTATTAATATGAATGTTTTTTCCCTCTTTATTGGAAAATGAATAAAAATTTTTTTTACAAAAAAAGGAAAAAGGAGGGCCAGATGAGCCTTGGGCTGAGCTTTGTTGGCTTTGCTTGCTGTTGTGGCCCCAACTGCTTAGAGTGTTTTAAATGGCCTTTAGCGTTTTAATAATTTTAAATTGTTTTCAACTGTTTTCAACCTGTTTTATAAAGGCTCTTTGGGGATGTGCCTCGGAGGAGAGGAGAGGAGCAGGGCCCCTCAATCGCAGTGGTTTAGGGTAGGGAGAGGTATGGAGGGGGGGGCAGGCCAGGTAAGGGGCACACGTGCCAGCCCCTCCTCCAACCTGGGGAATTGTGCTGGTCCTATCAGCCAGCCCTCAGGTCTGTGACTATTGTTGAATGCCAGGGCAGCTCAGAATAAGGTTTAAATAATAATAATACAAGGTATACCATCCTATACCAGCAGGTCTCGGGCGCTTCACAGGATAAAATCATAATATTAAAACAGGAAATCCATAAGATCTCCCTCACCCATGATCTGATTATAGACGAGGATGTTGATCTGGCCTGTGCCACTGAGACCTGGGTGGATGAGCAGGGTGGAGTTGGTCTCGCTCACCTGTGCCCACCTGTGCCCACCTGGGTGCAGCATCAGGGCAGACTTGGGGTTCAGGGAAGGGTACTTGCTGTGGTCTATAGAGATTCTCTCTGTCTCCATGCTCTCTGTCCAGCTAAGGGGCAATACTGTGTTGTTGTTTTCAAAGTGTTTTACTGGAAGTTCCCTTAAGCTCTGGCCAAAAAGAGAGAAGAAATGTTCTGTATATTTTCTGGCCACCAGCAATGGGGAACTGATAGCATTGCTTAAACAAATCCATACCACGAGAACAAGATTCGATTCAGTTGAGCAATTGGGGAAATAAGGAATATTTCCAAAAACCGTTTGCAAAGCTGGAACTTCCCCATTTTTAAAGCTCAAGCACAAAGACATGGGACCAGAAGGGCCCTGGGCTCCTACTTACACCCTGTTTTAGGTTTCATGTCTGATGTGTCATTCCCTCTCTCTCATCCATCATGCCCCTGATCCCCATTGCCCAACCCTGCTTAAACCCAGCAGTACCCCTCAACTTAAGAGGAGAGACGTGTGTTGCTTGAGATGGCTATCTTGACGTTTGAGTTTCCCCCTCAGCTGACAGCTTCAGGAAGGCAGTTGCACCTGATGTAGGGAGAAAGGGCTCTTCCTCAGCACGGCAGACCCAGTCCAAATCAAGGCAATTCTGGTCCTTTGGAGGGTTAATAGAATGCCTGGAAAACTTCATAATAATAGGATGTACCAGAAGTTATAAGCAGGAGAAAGTCAGTTAGGAAGTAATGGGAATATTATAGGGTGTGTTCCGATTTTAAATTGACTGCAAACTTGGGGCCCATTTTCCAATCTATCTGACATTTGTAAGTCACCCCAGAAATCTGTCACTATCTGTATAAGGTCATGAGTTTAGACAAGAGCTGGGAGTTGAGTGGTGGGAGAGATGGCAAGGAAGCATGAAGGTAGACTGCGGGAAATTATGATGTGTATGTGTGTGGCAGTGCGTTGCTGCTGTCGCAGCAAGATCACATGTGCGAGAAGTGATTTTTCTGGTGTGTGTGTGCCCATACAGCTCCTTGCCGGGGTGCAAGGGACCTAGATACGCCTCTGCACCTCCCTGCCAATTATGATGAGACGATGATGCTTAACCTAATTCTGTTATTTCTATTTACCAATCAAGCAAGAAAAGAGTTTTGTTTATGTTCAGTTTATTGAAGATTTTCAAGCAGAGAAGCTCTCAATCCAAAGCAAGATGACTCACCACCCCAGACACACTTAAAAATAATAATCACTTTCCCTCATCTAGAAAGAGGGCCATGGGGTGGGGCACAACATGCAAATGCTAGCCCAGAAAGAAGCAGCTGGAGTTTGATTATATGGCAGTAGGTAGATGTTTCATCAAAGGGGATCTCAAGAGAAATGCTGGAATTCATTCAGGACCATGGAACTCAGAGATTGCAACCTTTTGTCCACCCAGAGAGATCTTTTCCTTTGCAATTATTCCTCCAAGCAACCCTAAAAGTCAGAATAAGAGCAAAAAATGAAGCAAGGGAAGCCACATGACTGTTGCTTGTATAACTAACTACAAGTGAGGTGGATCTTCTTTAAAAGCTCCACAACATTTCCAAGTGAGGCATTTGTGTCAGCTGCAGGGTCAGTCTTTCTGTTCATGCTGATGATCAGTTTAAGCGGTCAACGGGAAGTCTACCTATTAACAGCCCATGGTGCCCTTCTAGCAAAATTTTGCTTCCCATCCCATCCCATCCCATCCCATGGAACTTTACTGCTCAGTCATGGATACAGCTGTCGAGCTGCTCAACTGCCTCATTCCTTGAGTCTGAGCAACTGAATCTGTATCCACCTCCCATGTGCCGGTTCATGACTAGGGGCTTCCAGATTTCACGGTCCTGCCACCGAGGACTTCTTGGATCATTCTTCGTCTAGCTCCTCCCCTTTGACCCTACTGCCTTGGGGACCCTGCTGGGAGTACGAGACTCCCGATTGCCTCGCTCCCAAGGGTCATAGGAACGTGCAAGCCCACACACCACGACAAGGCGATGATCCAGTGAGTGAAAAGCACATTTAGAGGCACGTTGTGCCTAACAATGGAGGTGGAACAGAGTCATTGTGGCTGCTAAGCATTGATAGCCTTCTGTGAAAGACCTCCAAGCAAACTTGGGAAGTGAACCATCTGCCCCAGGACTTTGCTCCAGCCCATGACAGAACTCAGACTGTCTCCTCCTTTCCTGCATTCCAATTTATTTATTACTACATTTATACCCCACCTTTTCTCCAAGGAGCTCAAGGTGGCATACATGCTTCTTCCCCTTAGAAAAACACTGTAGGCTGTGTTGTGAGACAGTGACTGACTCAATGTCAACCTGTGAACTTTCTGGCTGAGTCAGGATTTGATCTCTGGTGTCCCAGGTCCTCTCTTACCACTACTCCACATTGGCTCAGTTGCCAAATCATTTCCTTAAATCTCCACCAAGACAGCTACCAAGTGTTTGCTGCACACAGTGGTGGCTGGCTTTGTGATGCGGGTGGGGCTGCGGTCTTTTCCTGGCTTCCCAGCACTGTCTGATGCTGCCAGTTACTCAGAGGAAGTGGAGAAGGGCAACAGGGTCCCAGAGCAGTGAGGGCACTACTGGCTGTACATTTAAGGAAGCATCTTTAGCCCTTGTCAGTGCCTATTGGGGAAGGATCTTTAACTGCCAGCTATACAACAGTCAAGTGAAACCACCTTCCTCTTCACAGTTATGTGAACTGAAAACTTGGCTGGTATTGAATGTTCCAAGCACTGAGATATTAGCACTTACCAGGCGTTCATCCCTTGGGGGTCACGGACAATCCTCTTGACACAGTTAATATCATTTGTGATGTCATCATTTAAGAACGCTGGCAAAGATTTGTCAGAAAGCAAAGGAGGTTACTGGGGATTCCTAAAATGCAAACCCCAGAATACAAACACTCCCAAGGTTGCAGGGGCTGCCTCTGAACTGTGGAAAACCTTTTCCTAGAGGTCCATCCAACTTTTGGGGAACACTTAAAGCATTTCCCCTTGAGCTGGCATTCAATTGTTATAGCACCAAGCGGGGATCCCTTCTAGTCAGCTGCATTCTAGCCAGAGAAAGAAATCAGTTCTTTAAAAATGGCCATCTCATCCTCCATCCAGACAAGCAAGGTCACAGTTCCAGGACACATTGCAACCCGGTAAAAGCAGGAGGATACAGAGCAGAGGCAGTGGGGCAGAGCATGGCCTAGTGAGATGTCATGGCCTAGGGCATTGTTTCCCAGTCTGTGGGTCACGGCCTGCAAGTGTTGTTTCGTGCAGGTGCGAAAAGGGGTTATATGTATGTGTGCTCAGAAGGGAAGATATGTATTTGAGTAAAGAGGGAGAACAGTGTGTGTCTGTGTGTGTGTGTGTGAGGGGCTGAGGTGTAGGAGCCAGGGGGAGGTGTAGGAGCCAGGGGGAGCCAGGGGGCCCATCGCCCTGGCACACATTTTTGAGGAAGTGCAATCAGGTATCCCCACGACAGGCACTGAGCCCTGGCAGCTGAGGCACATCGGCAGGCAGGTTGGTCTGGTGGGCAGGTGGATGGAGGCAGCAGTCGAAGAGGCTGTTGGAAGCGGGCTCCATCCACCCTCTGTGGGGGCTCTGCATGCCACCCCTGGTGCCCGCCCCAACTGCCCAGTCCACCAAGGGAGGGAGCGGCAACCCACACTACGCTGCTGGTGAGGGCAGAGGGATGGACACATGCACATGTGGTTGATGAGAGAGAGAGGAAGACAAGCACCTGAGCAGAGAGAGAGAGGCATATCTGAATGAATGTATATCTGTGCAGTATAAGGTGGAGCGAGAGACACAAAACTTGCATGTATGCCTGTGGTCTGTATATGTGAGGGCATGTGTGTGCTCTGTGTGTACGCAATAGTGTCGTGTGGCTACCTTGTATAGATTTTCCTGGTACAAGGAGTGCTCCCTTGGTGTTATTGGACAATAGCAGTACCAGTGTGTACGTTTGCGTGTAAAAACAATATTAAGTGACACAGTCAGGACAAACAGGGCACAACTGGCTTTCCATGATAAACATGAAGTTTGCGGGGAGGGAAGCAGCAATGACTGTACTGTACTCTCTGCAATTTTCCCTATGCTCACCCCAATGGCTTTAACTCTAACAAATAAATGGAACCTATACTATGTGAAACATTTTGAATTTCATTATGTAGTTCCAATTTTTATTATTAACTGTGTCATTAAAAGTTCATCACAAATTCAACAAAGAAGGGGGCACAGGAAGAGAGAAGTGTGGGAGACACATTTTTAAGTTTATTAAGATATTAGTACCAGCATTTCTGGAAGTCCAAAATTCATTTGACAATAAATCTGTAGTCACCATGTCTTGCAAATTTGGATTTGTGGGTCACCATACCAAAAACATTGGGGACCACTGACTAAGGACAATCCTGAGAGCTGGACAATACACCTGGGGGTGAAGGTATGGAGGTTGTGGAATTCTTTTTTTAAAAAGTCTTCATGTAAATTCAGCAGTTTTTTAGTGTGAAATTCTCCTGAATGATAGCTTTGTATGCAATTTTTTGTAATCTAATGTACTTTTGTATGCAATTTTTGTAAATATATCTATTTATAGGCATACTGTGCCCAATGCAGTTGGCTTGAGAAGTGCATTGGAAGATTAGAAGTGTGAGTTTCGGAGAATGTGCAGTGTGTTTGTCCGTGTATTATTTCAGAAAGTGCAAATTAGGTAGATTCACCTTCAAATGTGAACTGAATTAAAGAAGTGTAAGCTAGTAGGGAATCAAGAGATAAAAGGAACAACTGGCAAGTTTGGCCTTGGAGATCAAAACGAAGCAGGGCAAAGGCTAATAGAGTTCTGTCAAGAGAACAAGCTGGTCATCACAAACACGCTTTTCCAACAACACAAGAGACGACTCTACACATGGACATCACCAGATGGGCAGCATCGAAATCAGATTGATTATATTCTCTGCAGCCAAAGATGGAGAAGCTCTATACAGTCAGCAAAAACAAGACCTGGGGCTGACTGTGGCTCCGATCATCAGCTTCTTATAGCAAAATTCAAGCTCAAACTGAAGAAAGTAAGAAAAACCACTGGGCCAGTACGATACAATCTAAATCAAATCCCTTATGAATACACAGTGGAAGTGAGGAACAGGTTTAAGGATTTAGATTTGCTGGACAGAGTGCCTGAAGATCTATGGATGGAGGCTCGCAACATTATACAGGAGGCAGCAACGAAAACCATCCAATTGAAAAGGAAATACAAGAAAGCAAAGTGGCTGTCCAACGAGGCCTTACAAATAGTGGGGGAGAGAAGGCAAGCAAAATGCAAGGGAGATAGTGAAAGATACAGGAAATTGAATGCAAATTTCCAAAAAATAGCAAGGAGAGACAAGAAGGCCTTCTTAAACGAGCAATGCAAAGAAATAGAGGGAAACAACAGAATGGGAAAAACCAGAGATCTGTTCAAGAAAATTGGAGATATAAAATGAACATTTCGTACAAAGATTACCATAATAAAGGACAAAAGTGGTAAGGACCTAACAGAAGCAGAAGACATCAAGAAGAGGTGGCAAGAATACACCGAGGAATTATACCAGAAAGATATGGATGGCTCGTACACCCCAGGTAGTGGGGTTGCTGACCTTGAGCCAGACATCCTGGAGAGTGAAGTCAAATGGGCCTTAGAAAGCATAGCAAATAACAAGGCCAGTGGAAGTGATGGTATTCCAGCTGAACTATTTAAAATTTTAAAAGATGATGCTGTTAAGGTGCTACACTCAATATGCCAGCAAGTTTGGAAAACTCAGCAGTGGCCAGAGGATTGGAGAAGATCAGTCTACATCCCAATCCCAAAGAAGGGCAGTGCCAAAGAATGCTCCAACTACCGCACAATTGCACTCATTTCACACGCTAGCAAGGTTATGCTTAAAATTCTACAAGGTAGGCTCAAGCAGTATGTGGACCAAGAACTCCCGGAAATACAAGCTGGATTTAGAAGAGGCAGAGGAATCAGAGACCAAATTGCAAACATGCGCTGGATTATGGAGAAAGCTAGAGAGTTCCAGAAAGACATCTACTTCTGCTTCATTGACTATGCAAAAGCCTTTGACTGTGTCGACCACAGCAAACTATGGCAAGTTCTTAAAGAAATGGGAGTGCCTGATCACCTCATCTGTCTCCTGAGAAATCTCTATGTGGGAGAAGAAGCTACAGTTAGAACTGGATATGGAACAATGGATTGGTTCAAAATTGGGAAAGGAGTACGACAAGGCTGTATATTGTCTCCCTGCTTATTTAACTGATATGCAGAATTCATCATGTGAAAGGCTGGGCTGGATGAATCCCTAGCCGGAATTAAGATTGCCGGAAGAAATATCAACAACCTCAGATATGCAGATGACACAACCTTGATGGCAGAAAGTGAGGAGGAATTAAAGAACCTTTTATTGAGGGTGAAAGAGGAGAGTGCAAAATATGGTCTGAAGCTCAACATCAAAAAAAAAAGATCATGGCCACTGGTCCCATCACCTCCTGGCAAATAGAAGGGGGAAAAATGGAGGCAGTGAGAGATTTTACTTTTTTGGGCTCCATGATCACTGCAGATGGTGACAGCAGCCACAAAATTAAAAGACGCCTGCTTCTTGGGAGGAAAGCAATGACAAACCTAGACAGCATCTTAAAAAGTAGAGACATCACCTTGCCAACAAAGGTCCGTATAGTAAAAGCTATGGTTTTTCCAGTAGTGTTGTATGGAAGTGAAACCTGGACCATCAAGAAGGCTGATCGCCGAAGAATTGATGCCTTTCAATTATGGTGCTGGAGGAGACTCTTGAGAGTCCCATGGACTGCAAGAAGATCAAACCATTCCATTCTGAAGGAAATCAGCCCTGAGTGCTGACTGGAAGGACAGATCCTGAAGCTGAGGCTCCGAGACTTTGGCCACCTCATGAGAAGAGAAGACTCCCTGGAAAAGACCCTGATGTTGGGAAAGATGGAGGGCACAAGGAGAAGGGGACAATAGAGGACGAGATGGTTGGACAGTGTTCTCGAAGCAACCAGCATGAGTTTGACCAAACTGCGGGAGGCAGTGGAAGACAGGAGTGCCTGGTGTGCTCTGGTCCAGGGGGTCACGAAGAGTCAGACACGACCAAACGACTAAACAACAACAAAGCTAGCAATCCCTGCAGTATCAAGTTGCTTACCATTGCAGGAGCTTCTACACCCATTAGCTGTTGGGCGATGTCCATTGTCGCACCACCAGCGGCTGTTTATCTGAAAGAGTCCATAGTCACGGCTGCCGTCGGAGTTTGGTGGCCCCACGGCTCTTGTGTTAAATCTGCTTTCATGATAAGCGGTACAGAGCCCTGGAACAAAGTGAACAAGAAAAGGACTACAATTTGGGTATACGCTCGGTGTGCAATCTTTTTTGTCAAAGTTTAGAAATAGAATAATTTAAAAACATTCTTTCAATGTTCACTATGGAAGCTGCCTGTAACGCCTACTCCCCCCCCCCAATGGTCTTAAATAGAAATTTGCACAAACTATGAATGAAAGTTGAGACATTTTGATGGGCAGCAGGGTGTGTGAACCTTTTCCTGAAAAGAAGTCCCCATTTCAGCTTTGCCCCAAAACACCAGAAATAGCAAAGATGAAGGGAAAGGAAGAGCAAACTCACAGTTGGCCAGGCTGACGCCACGATATCCATCCAACCCACCCCGTTTCAGTCGCGCAGCCAGTTCACATCTCCCAAACACTTTGGCTTCATTCCCTGCAAGGAGGAGGCAGAAGAGGGTGAGGACCAGAACCTTCATCTCTGCGGCTCCCTGGAGAGTGATGCTTGAATTCCCTGGGATCCCCAGTGGCTTTTGTAGATCAATGTTTTGGGCGGAGTCCAGATGGTGAGCAGAACACTGACAGGGGGAGGGGAATAAGTATTGATAGGAACCCCACCCCCTGCAAAAAAACGGACACATGGTGCAATTCTGGTTTGATATATGATAACAGTGTGCAACTTAGGAAATATTTCAACAGTCACTTAACATTTTCAACGGAAAAGATTAAAGCAGGCAGCATGCATGAGCTTAAAGATTTAGCATCTGTGTAACATTAAATAATGGGATGCGGGTGGCGCTGTGTGTAAAGCCGCAGTGCCTAGGACTGGCCGATCGTATGGTCGGCGGTTCAAATCCCCGCGGCGGGGTGAGCTCCCATCGTTCGGTCCCAGCTCCTGCCCACCTAGCAGTTCGAAAGCACCCTTAAGTGCAAGTAGATAAAGAGGTACCGCTTTATAGCAGGAAGGTAAACGGCGTTTCCGTGTGCTGCACTGGTGCAGGCTCGCCAGAGCAGCTTCGTCACGCTGGCTATGTGACCCGGAAGTGTCCTCGGACGGCGCCGGCTCACGGCCTCTAGAGTGAGATGAGCGCACAACCCTAGAATCGGACACGACTGGCCTTCGGGCAGGGGTACCTTTACCTTAATATTAAATAATAACCTAATAGGAAAAAAGCAATATATTTGTCTTTTCCAGCAAAAACAATCAAGAGAGCCTTGTGGCATCTTAAAGATTAATAAATGAATAGTTTGTTGTTGTTATTGTTATATTCTATTTATACACCACCCTTTATCAAAAGATAACTCTGGTGCTGGGAGGTCAGGTTCATAGCAGTACTGCTCCTCAGCAGTCACTTCTGCCAAATGGCAAGGAAAGCATTTGTTGAGAAACAAAATATGTAGCCGTGGAGAAAAAGAAATAGAAATGTAAGGAGACTGGAATGAGATGAAAACAGGAATTCACATTTTCTGTGACTTCTGGGGAGATAATGGCGGACTAGGCATAATTATGCAGTGATTGAAGATAACGGGGATATATATCTTGGTTACCAAAACTCTTCTTTGAAATAAGGGAGTTCAAGGGTTAGACCAGAGCTTTCCAAACTTTCCATGTTGGTGACACACTTTTTAGAGATGCATCATTTCGCAACATAGTAATTCAGTTTTACTAGCAAACCAGAGGTTAAACGAATCCCTTTCCAGCCCTGGGAGGAGCATGGAGAACATGGGGAGCATTTGTGTGACACACCTTCACACTGCAAGTGACACACTAAGGAGTAGTGACACACAGTTTGGAAAGCTCTGTGTTAGACTCTCGTGCTCGGAAGAAGGTATTTGTCACACCAAGAACAAATAGGTTTTTTTGAGGGAAAGTTCCAATTAACAGGCTAAAACTGTGGCTATTGGGGAGTTGAGGCTATATGGGTGGCTGTGACCCCAAAGTGGTGAACACTAAAGGGATTTACCTCTTTGTGGGGAGTCTGTTTCAGTGGGAGAGGAAGAACAAGGGCTGCCCTGTTAATATCTGGAGACTAATGGTATAGATTTCTCCCCTCATTCCCCTTCAACTTCAGGTAGAGAGGCCTGGAGGGCTGCATGTGCAAATTGGTACCCTCTTTTTGGCAATGCATAACCAGTCACATTACTTACATGGTTTGGTTATGTAAATAGGAAACTATTGTTATGAGTTGGTGGGTGCAAGACACCCTAAATTATGGATCAAGCTAGTGTTAGAATTTAATTAAGGCTTGTGTATTAAAACTGATTGCTAGACCCATGTGTGTATTTGAGCTGTGTACTAGATGCTTCTACCCACTGGAATCAACATGTGTCAAAAGCTAATTAAGCCTGGGGGTAATGGGGGATTAGAAGGGCAAAGGCTCAAGACAGGGAAGAAGGGGAGGGCGAAGAGCCAGAGAATAGTAGAAACCTGATCCCTTCGCGCCCTGAGAGCACTCAGGAATGCAGCCTGACAGTTCTGAAAGTAACACAGAGCAGAGAGAACTGGATGCAACAGAGGAGGGGAGAGGGCTCAGAGGACCAGAGTCCCCAAAAAGCCTTAACAGAAAAGCGCATGACAGGGAAAAGGAGGAGAAAGAGGTGGAGAGCATCATGTTTCCACCGGAAAAAGAAGCTAGATCTGGCAACTGACTCCAAAAGTGACAAATGAGTTAATGAAGCTCAGACTGCTGAGCCCTGTAATGGCTCAATAAATCTGAAATAATATAACTGTCAGAGACTGTGTCTTGTGTGGGAGAGACTACCAAACCAGACACTCTCCTTCCCTCAACTGAGAGTTAGTTTAAAAGACAATGCCAGGTTACACCTCCTGTTACCACCACACACTGCTTAGAGTGTTTTAAATGGCCTTTAGCGTTTTAATAATTTTAAATTGTTTTCAACTGTTTTCAACCTGTTTTATAAAGGCTCTTTGGGGGATGTGCCTCGGAGGAGAGGAGAGGAGCAGGGCCCCTCAATCGCAGTGGTTTAGGGTAGGGAGAGGTATGGAGGGGGGCAGGCCAGGTAAGGGGCACACGTGCCAGCCCCTCCTCCAACCTGGGGAATTGTGCTGGTCCTATCAGCCAGCCCTCAGGTCTGTGACTATTGTTGAATGCCAGGGCAGCTCAGAATAAGGTTTAAATAATAATAATACAAGGTATACCATCCTATACCAGCAGGTCTCGGGGCGCTTCACAGGATAAAATCATAATATTAAAACAGGAAATCCATAAGATCTCCCTCACCCATGATCTGATTATAGACGAGGATGTTGATCTGGCCTGTGCCACTGAGACCTGGGTGGATGAGCAGGGTGGAGTTGGTCTCGCTCAGCTGCCACCTGTGCCCACCTGTGCCCACCTGGGTGCAGCATCAGGGCAGACTTGGGGTTCAGGGAAGGGTACTTGCTGTGGTCTATAGAGATTCTCTCTGTCTCCATGCTCTCTGTCCAGCTAAGGGGCAATACTGTGTTGTTGTTTTCAAAGTGTTTTACTGGAAGTTCCCTTAAGCTCTGGCCAAAAAAGAGAGAAGAAATGTTCTGTATATTTTCTGGCCACCAGCAATGGGGAACTGATAGCATTGCTTAAACAAATCCATACCACGAGAACAAGATTCGATTCAGTTGAGCAATTGGGGAAATAAGGAATATTTCCAAAAACCGTTTGCAAAGCTGGAACTTCCCCATTTTTAAAGCTCAAGCACAAAGACATGGGACCAGAAGGGCCCTGGGCTCCTACTTACACCCTGTTTTAGGTTTCATGTCTGATGTGTCATTCCCTCTCTCTCATCCATCATGCCCCTGATCCCCATTGCCCAACCCTGCTTAAACCCAGCAGTACCCCTCAACTTAAGAGGAGAGACGTGTGTTGCTTGAGATGGCTATCTTGACGTTTGAGTTTCCCCTCAGCTGACAGCTTCAGGAAGGCAGTTGCACCTGATGTAGGGAGAAAGGGCTCTTCCTCAGCACGGCAGACCCAGTCCAAATCAAGGCAATTCTGGTCCTTTGGAGGGTTAATAGAATGCCTGGAAAACTTCATAATAATAGGATGTACCAGAAGTTATAAGCAGGAGAAAGTCAGTTAGGAAGTAATGGGAATATTATAGGGTGTGTTCCGATTTTAAATTGACTGCAAACTTGGGGCCCATTTTCCAATCTATCTGACATTTGTAAGTCACCCCAGAAATCTGTCACTATCTGTATAAGGTCATGAGTTTAGACAAGAGCTGGGAGTTGAGTGGTGGGAGAGATGGCAAGGAAGCATGAAGGTAGACTGCGGGAAATTATGATGTGTATGTGTGTGGCAGTGCGTTGCTGCTGTCGCAGCAAGATCACATGTGCGAGAAGTGATTTTTCTGGTGTGTGTGTGCCCATACAGCTCCTTGCCGGGGTGCAAGGGACCTAGATACGCCTCTGCACCTCCCTGCCAATTATGATGAGACGATGATGCTTAACCTAATTCTGTTATTTCTATTTACCAATCAAGCAAGAAAAGAGTTTTGTTTATGTTCAGTTTATTGAAGATTTTCAAGCAGAGAAGCTCTCAATCCAAAGCAAGATGACTCACCACCCCAGACACACTTAAAAATAATAATCACTTTCCCTCATCTAGAAAGAGGGCCATGGGGTGGGGCACAACATGCAAATGCTAGCCCAGAAAGAAGCAGCTGGAGTTTGATTATATGGCAGTAGGTAGATGTTTCATCAAAGGGGATCTCAAGAGAAATGCTGGAATTCATTCAGGACCATGGAACTCAGAGATTGCAACCTTTTGTCCACCCAGAGAGATCTTTTCCTTTGCAATTATTCCTCCAAGCAACCCTAAAAGTCAGAATAAGAGCAAAAAATGAAGCAAGGGAAGCCACATGACTGTTGCTTGTATAACTAACTACAAGTGAGGTGGATCTTCTTTAAAAGCTCCACAACATTTCCAAGTGAGGCATTTGTGTCAGCTGCAGGGTCAGTCTTTCTGTTCATGCTGATGATCAGTTTAAGCGGTCAACGGGAAGTCTACCTATTAAGAGCAATCCTCCTGAACTGGAACAAACAGCAACTGGGTTTTCTACAGAATGCTATTTGTTCTGATTTAGTTGGTTGGTTTTGAGTTGGTTTTCCAGGGGAAAGCAGCAGGGTAAAGGCAAAACCTATGTCCAGAAAGCACAAGACAAGCATGGGCAGAGGAAGGAGTGTGTCCGACGGCACAATGGCACACAGTTGGGCCCGCCCTTCACTTGAATATAGTGCACCCATCTTACAGAACACCACTTCCATGAATTCCCACAAACTACCTCAGATTATCTTGCGGGGGAATTATGTGAGGGAAAACTCAATAATTTGGAGTCTCAGGCAGGATTTGATCAAATAAACAATAACAATTTTATTTAACAGGGAACTTTGTGACACGAGTGGATAAAACTTAGGATATTTCAGTTTACAATGTTATTTCACTTCAAGGTTTTCTCAGTTGTTTCACACTTAATAGTTTCGTTCTTTGGTACTTTCTGTCAGTTACACACCCCTTAGACAACCCTACTCCTGAGGTACTCCAAGTAATAGACCCAAGGTTTCACTGGTTTGGGAGTCTTCTCTTACTAGAAGAATCTCTCCCCTCCTGACTGGAATGAGACCTAAGTAGACTGTCTCTTTACAGTTTCTACTTCTCTTGTCTCAGCTTCAGCCTCCCAGTTAATTCCTGGCCTAATTACTCTTATAGGACACCACACACTCTCCTTCACACTAAGCTCAGAAACTCCTTTCTTTAGTTTGTGATCTTTTCCTCAGAGTCAATGTTTCTACCCAGAACCAACTCTTACTCCCTCTCTTCCTACCTATCCTCCCAACCTAAATCCCAACCTACTCCAAAACCTCCTCCCAACACTCCCTCCAAAGCTCACTAGCTGTCAGCTAGCCAGCTGCATGCGTTCCTGCACTTAGCAGAAAAACACTCTCGGCAGCCAGCCATAAATTCCTTTCTTTATTTTCTTCTGACAAGATTACATGCAGAATAAACAAAGCGACCCGTCTCTCATGACGCGTTGCTCTAACTACTTTCTCTTTCCCTCTCCCTCGAGACCAACAGAGCCAACGGCTCAGCCCCTTCTGTTTCCCCTGTGACGTGGATCCCCTTCTCTCTGAAGCACCCCTTCCTCCCCAGACTCACTATCCTCTTCTCTGTCTTCTGAGGAGGACTCAGTACTGAGCAGTGGAGATCGTTCCCTGTATCCTCTAATTCTTTCCTCCCTCGCTGCCTGCGGTTCCCTGACATCCACCCCCTCCTCAAGGGCCCCCCTCACCTCCCTTTCCTGAGGAGAAGCCTCCCCCGATGCATTCTCCTTATGCTTCGTGGGGGTAAATCCTAGGAAAATCTCCTCCTCCTCCTCCTCCTCCTCCTCTTCTTCGGTATCATCAAAAACGTTACCCCAACCTCTAACACCTGATGGACCCGGACGCTCTTCACTCACTCCTCCTCCCCCCTGTGTTTCCTCTTGGTCCGAGGCAGAGAACCCTTCAAAATCCTCTTCATCGTCCGTCGGCCCAAACGCCCTCTCAGTGAACCTCCCTGCTGGTTGTGGCTTATGTGGAAATAGCTCGTGGAAGTCCTCCACTAAACCCTCCTCCGTGACCCAATCTGACGGCACCCATGTGTTATCCAAGCTGGGAGCCCCCTCCCAAGCTACAAGATACTCCAGCTGATTACCCTTCCAACGCGAGTCCAATATTTCCTCTATCTGGTGTCCCCGCTCCCTTTCCTCGACTTCTGGCGGTGGCACCTCCCCTTCCCTTCTGCCCGGCTGGTAAGCCGACAATAGCGACCGGTGGAACACTGGATGAATTTTCATGCTCTCTGGCAGCCTCAACCTAAAGGCCACCGGGTTGACTTGCTGTATGATTTCAAAGGGGCCCACCCTCCTGGGTTTGAGTTTCTTACAACCCCCTTTCCAAGGCAAGCCTTGCGTTGATAACCACACCTTATCCCCCACCCAGAGGGTTTCCCCTTCCCTCCGATGCTTGTCTGCTTGCCTCTTGTATACCTCCTTGGCCCTTTCCAAGTTCAACTTCAGTTGTTGTTGAATTGCTTCCATTTCCTCCTGTTCAGCGGCTGGCACACTCCACGATTCCTCCCCTCCCCGGGACAGCCCTAGGATGGCACCCGTGATTAGCAAAAAACGGAGTCATCCCTGTGGACACATTCTCGGAGTTGTTGTATGCAAACTCCACCAGCGCTAATTTGTCCACCCAATCGTTCTGCCTCTCCCCCACATAACAATGCAGGTACTGCTGTAATACTGCATTGACCCTTTCCGCCTGCCCATTGCTTTCGGGATGTCTGGCAGTGGTGAAACTTACCTCAACTTGCAACAAACTCATGAGTTTGCACCAGAACCTTGAGGTAAATTGTGTCCCCCTATCCAAAATGACCCTCGAAGGGACCCCATGCAACTTAAACATGTGCTCCACAAACAATTTGGCTGTCTCCTCCGCAGTTACCGCATGAGAACATGCCACAAAATGGCACATTTTGGTGAATAGATCCACCAACACCGCCGTTTCCCCCCTGGACCGGGGCAGGTCAGTGATGAAGTCTACTGATACCACCTCCCATGGCCTCCCTGGTGTTGGCAAAGGCTCTAATAACCCTGCTGGAGCTGCCCTCTCCCCTTTGGCTCTCTGACAGGTCTCACACCCTCGCACATATTCCTTCACATCTTCCCACACCTTAGGCCACCAAAATTCCCTGGTGACCAACAACATGGTCTTATGTTGCCCAAAGTGTCCTGCCGTCGAGCTGTCATGCAGTTGTCGGAGGATTCGGGCCCGGAGAGCTTCCCTGGCACATACAAAGCCCCTCGATAAAACAGTAGCCCCCTTTTTCCCTCGAAACCTCCCTCAGCCCCTCTCTCTTGCCCAAGTTCATCCAACTTTCCTCTGGCAAAAGCATCGTCCCGCATCAAGCGTAGCAGTTCGTTGTCCTTCACCAATGTTGCCCCGCAAGCCCACCTCTGCTCGGGGAACATGAACCGGGTTGTCAGCGGTCCTTCCTCTGCCAAATACTCGGGTTTACGGGATAAAGCGTCCGCCCTCACATTCTGCTCACCCGGTACGTACTGAATCCTGAAGTTGAAGTTGGCAAAGAACTGTGCCCAGCGTATTTGCCTCTGGCACATCACTCTTGCAATCCGCCAGTACTCCAAATTCTTGTGATCCGTGCACACCTGTATCTGATGCTTCGCTCCAATCAAAAAAATGTCGCCATTGCTTGAATGCAGACACAATAGCAAGCAATTCCTTATCATAGATACTATAGTTCACTTCCGATTTATTGAGCTTCCGGGGAAAAAAGGCACACGGATGCCATTCCCCCTCCCCATCTTGCTGCATGAGAACTGCTCCAATCGCTCGATCAGACGCATCTGTCTCCACCCGTAGTGGTAGTTCAGGGTTGACATGCAGCAGTTGTTCCTCGGAGGCAAAGACTCTCTTTAGACTCTCAAAGGCCCTCTGCGCCTCATCTGTCCACTCAAACTTCTTCTTGCCACTGAGGCAATCCGTTATGGGGGTCGCCAGCCGTGCGAAGTCCTTGATGAATTTCCGGTAGAAGTTACTGAAGCCCAGGAACCGCTGAACATCCTTCCTCGTTTTGGGGCTTTTCCACTCCACCACCGCTTTGACCTTCTCCGGGTCCATTGCCAGACCCCTGTCCGACAGCCTATAGCCCAGGAACTCGACCTCTCTTGTGTGAAACTGACACTTCTCCAGTTTCACCCATAGGCGATGCTCCTTGAGCTGAGCTAGAACTTCTCGCATGTCCTTCACGTGCTGTTCTTCGTCTGGAGAATAAATAAGTATGTCATCCAAAAATGCAGCACAGTTTTTGTAGAACAAAGGTCCCAACACGTGGTGCATGAAGGCTTGGAAGCACGGACTACCACACTGTAAACCGAAGGGCATAACAAGATATTCAAATGCCCCTAGTGGTGTGAACATGGTTGTCTTCCACTCGTCCCCCTCTCGCACCCTGATGAGATTGTAGGCTCCTCTCAAATCCAGTTTGGTGAAAATTTTCCCCTTTCGCACCCTCGCCAATACGCCATCAATTCTTGGCATTGGGAAGGCCATGGGGAGGGTCTGGGCGTTGATTCGCCTAAAGTCTACTGTCAGAGCTGCTTCCAGATCCTAGCTCACAGAGGATCACGCTAGCCAGCGATCATTAAACAAAAGTCTTTATTGAGTTACAGTTTCCATTCTCAAACTGCTGCGTGCAACTCTACGTCTCATGGTTAGACCGGCGAAGCTCCGTCTGAGTCTCCGCCCTTTGTACACCAACTAAATATCCTAGCCCTGCTCCACCTTTTCCGCCTGACTGTTCTTCTCTGGGTCCCTCTGCCCCCTGGGGTCTCTTCTTTCCGGGATTCCTCTGACGCTGACGCTGACCCCCCCTGACTCTTCTCCCTCCTTTCGGCGGGCTTTAGGACCTGGCTCCCTTTCCGGGCTGCCTACTGTGCCACCTTCCTGTGCATTTGAACTTGGCGCGCGCGCCCAACCGTCCCCCTTCCGTCTGACCGTTTCTTCGCTCCCCGATGGAGGTGTGGCCACTCCTGACTCGGGCCCTCTCCCCTGTTGTGAGCTGCCAGCGCTTGATCCCTGGCTCCCTTCCTCTTCCCTGCTCTCTGGCGGTGACGCTGGTCCCGATTTCCAACTGCTCCCTCTGAGTCCCCTCTGGCTCTATCTTCCTGGGGCGTCCCCTAGGCTCCCCTTGCCCTGGCCACTGGTGCTCCTTTCTGTGAATCTTCTGATTCACTGGAAAGACTCGAGATCTCGGGTCGTCGTCATCACTCATCTTTTCTTCTGCCTCCTCCCCTCGCTCTCTGTTTCCTCCCTTGCCCTTGCCTCTGCTCCTGAACCCCTGACATCCATCCCCCTCGAAGCCCCCTCTTCCCCCTCCCTCCTTCCGGTGCGGGATCTGGGTGCTGCCGTGTCAGGGGACGAATGTCGGATACAGTTCGCTTCCCGTGGCGGGCCGCCATCTGAAGTCTTCCGGTTCTTCCTCCCTGCTCTCGTTGACGACGGTCACCTCCGCTTCCATCTCTGTGCCGCCGTGCTCGAAACCCGGGTCGTCCCCGAAAACGTCCATGTCCGTCTCTCCCTCGTTACCTTCTGGAGACGTTGCTCGTCCTGGACCCTCCAGCCACCTTCTGCGGAACTGCTCCTCTGGTCGATCATCCCACCAATACGAGGGTTCTGAAGCAGATCCCGAGGGTGACTCCTCCGGGGAACGGGCGTCTCGTGTCGGTTCCTCGTCCGAGTCGAACCCCGGAACGTGCTGGCTGAAAGCGTGGGCGTGAAAAGCCAGTCGTCGAAAAAGTCTGCTGGCATTGGCCTATGTGGGAAGAGGGCATGAAACTCTTCTTTGAGCAGAGGTTCGTCTAAAGCGTAGCCCGGCACCCAGCTGTTGGCACTGGCCGGGGTGCCCTCCTTGGCGAGAAGGTATTCTACCCCCTCTTCCCCCATCTGGAGTCCAAAATCTCCGTGGCTTCGTTGATGCGCTCCTCCCGTGCCACTCCCCCACCCGGTTCTCTCTCGGAGCGGACCCGGTGCCGTTCCTGGTTCCTGAAACCTGTGAGGTGCCTTGTATGGAGTGAGCACCGATCTGTGGAACACCGGATGCATCCTGGAACCCTCCGGAAGAGCCAGCCTGAAAGCCACCGGGTTGACCTGTTCTTCGACTTGGTAGGGCCCCAGTTGTTTATGCCCTAGTTTCTTCTTCGCCAACGACCTGGCCGAACTGCGTGGGCTGCTAACCAGACCCAGTCTCCCACATGGATCTCTTCGCCAACCCTTCTGTGTTTGTCCGCTTGTACCTTGTATGCGTGTTTAGCCAGCTCCAGGTGCCGCCGCAGCTGATCGTGGACCTCCTGCAACTCCGACGCGAATGCATCTGCTGTCTGCGGCTCCCTCCCCCATTCTTTCCAGTCCCGGGAAGGTTCTGGGGTGCCTCCCGTTGTTGGCGAAGAACGGCGTGACCCCCGTGGACACGTGCTTCGTGTTGTTGTAGGCGAACTCGGCGAGAGGCAGGTAATCCACCCACGTCGCAGGCTGTTGATTCGCATAACATCTCAGGTACTGCTGCATGATGGCATTGACTCCGCTCCGCTTGCCCATTGGTCTGCGGGTGTCTAGCCGACGCCAGGTTGATCTTGACGTTCAGGAAGCCCATCAGCCTCTGCCAGAAGTTCGAGATGAACTGTCGCCCCGGTCGGACAGAATAGACCGCGGCAGACCGTGAACCTTGAACACGTGGTCTATGAACAGTTTGGCGGTTTGTTCCGCCGTGGCCACCTTCGCACACGGAATGAAATGTGCCATCTTGGAGAACAAGTCCACCACCACCAGCACAGCCGTCTTGCCCCTCGAGCTGGGCAGATCCGTGACAAAGTCCAGGGCCACTCTCTCCCATGGTTCGAACGGAGTTTGCAGCGGTTCCAGCAATCCGGCCGGCGGTCTGTGCACTGGTTTGGCCCTCTGGCAGGTGTCACACCTCGCCACGTAGTCCGCGACTTCCCTCTCATTCCTGGCCACCAGAAGTCTCTGGCTACTAATTCCACCGTCTTCTCCTTGCCAAAGTGCCCGGCAGTGGGCGCGTCGTGCAGCTGCTGCAGTACCTTGGCGCGAAGTTCGTCTCCCGGCACGTAGATGGCCCCTTTACGGATGAGCAAACCATCTCGCAGCTGGAACTCGTCGGTCGCTGCCGTGCCCCTGTGCGCCTCTGCCATCTTTGCTTGCGCGAAGGAGTCATCCTGCAACGCTCGTCGCACCGCCTCCAGGTCAACTGTTGCCGCCGTGCACGCCCACACTGTCGGTGCGAAGATGTGCATGGCGGCCGCTGGCGTTGCCTCCTCCAGATACTGCGGCTTACGGGAGAGAGCATCCGCCATGATGTTGGTGTCCCCCGGGACATACTCTATTCGGAAGTCGAAATTCGCAAAGAACTCAGCCCAACGTATCTGCCTCTGGTTCAGGAACTGTGCCGTGCGCCAGTGCTCTAGATTCTTGTGGTCCGTGCAGACCTGCACCGTGTGCTTGGCGCCGATCAGGAAGTGCCTCCACGCTTTGAACGCTGCATGAATGGCCAGCAACTCCCTGTCCCAGATGGTGTAGTTCTGTTCGGACTTGCTGAGCTTCCTTGAGTAAAACGCTCCCGGCCTCCAAACCCCTGCGGGTCCTTCTGCAGCAGGACTGCTCCCACGGCTCTGTCCGAAGCGTCTGTCTCCACCCTCATCGGCTTGCTGGGGTTGACATGAAGCAGTTGCCCTTCCGACGCGAAGAGACGCTTGAGTGCCTGGAAAGGACTGCTCCGCCTGCTCTGTCCAGATGAACTTCTTTTCTTGGAGCTGAGCGTGTCCGTGATGGCCGCTGTCTGCATGGCAAAGCCTTTGATAAACTTGCGATAGAAGTTCGCAAAGCCGACAAACCGTTGGACCTCCTTCCGGTTGCGTGGGCTTTTCCAATCCAACACTGCTCGGACCTTGGCGCTGTCCATGGCGAGCCCTTTATCAGACAACTTGTAGCCCAGGAAATCCACCTCCGTCACGTCGAATTGGCACTTCTCCAGCTTGGCGTAAAGCCTATGTTGCTGTAGCCTGCTCAGCACTTCCTTGACGTGTCTGTCATGCTCCTGCTGCGATTCCGAAAAGATCAGGATGTCATCCAAGAAACAGACGCACGTCTTGTAGAGGAGCCCCGCCAACACGTGATGCATGAACGCTTGAAAAAGTGGGAACCATTTTGCAATCCAAAAGGCATAACTCTATATTCGTAGGTGCCCAGGGGCGTGAACATGGCTGTCTTCCACTCATCTCCTTCCCGCATGCGTATGAGGTTGTTGTGCACTCGCAGGTCCAACTTAGTGAACACGCTGCCCTTCCGTACCTTTGCGAGGAGGTCGTCGATTCGGGGCATGGGGAAGTCCGATGGCTTGGTCACGCTGTTCAAAATGCGATAGTCCACTACAAGTCTTTTCTGGGGCGTGTCCCGCTTCTTAACAAAGAATACCGGACTGCCCCCTGCTGCCTTGGACTCTCGGATGAAACCGCGCTCCAAATTATGATCTATGAACTCTTTGAGTTCCTGCAGTTCGTCCTCAGACATGGAATACAGCTTCCCTTTGGGCAGCGCCGCCCCCGGCAGCAGGTCAATTTTGCAGTCATATGGTCTGTGGGGGGTGTAGCCTGTCTGCCTCCTTCTCGCAGAAAACCTCCAAAAATTCTGCGTACTTGTGGGGAACCGCTTGCAGCGTGCCTAGCTGCAGCTGTGACTCCTCTTCCTCTCCTTCCTGCCGGGGCACGATGCAGTGTTCAGCGCAAAAGGAAGAGCCGAAGGTCAGCTGCCTCTGGTACCAAGCCAGCGTCGGGCTGTGCTTGTCCAGCCAACTCATGCCCAATACAATGGGCGTGTCCGATAGTTGAGTGACATTGAAGCTGATGATTTCCCTGTGATTCCCAAGCCGCATCACCATTGGTGGCGTCTGCTTCACCACTTGCCCCCCTAGCAGCTCCCTGCCATCCACCGTGACAACCTGCAGGGGCAGCGTGGCAGGCAGCAACTGTATAGCGTGCCGGTCGACAAAGTCCTGCCCTATAAAGTCCGCATTGCTTCCGGAGTCAATGGTGATTGGCACGTCCATGGTGATTCCATTGGGCAGCTGGAGCGACGCGGTGAGCCTCACTACTGGTTTGGGCGGGAGGGGGTCCATGGGCTGTAAAATCTCTGGGGACTGCTTCACTGACACGTCTGGCTGGGCCCCAGTGCCTCTTCCTCCAACCAGACTCCGTCGTTTCCCTGCTGTGGTTCTCCTTGCTGCGTTGCTGCAGTTACCATTGCTGAAGCTGCAGTGTGCTTGTGGAGCCTCTGGGGACACTCTTTCGCCATATGCTGTGGAGCATCGCAGATGTAACACTTCCTGTTCCCTCTAGGAGGCTTCGCTCACTGCTGCCGGTGCTAGGGCTCTGGCTGCTGACTGAGCCCTTGCACCTCCAACCTCCATAGGTTCCGCTCCTCCTCCTGGCGGAGGCGTGGATTGCGCACGCGCTGCTTCTCTGGGAAGGAAGGAGGAGCCCCTGGCTGGTTCGCGCCCTCCACGCCCTTCGTCCCTGCTCCACGGACGTTCTTCCAGCCGCACCCCCACCGCCAGCGCCCTCTGAACGATCTCCTGCGTGGTCCGGGGTCTCTCCCCTCGCAATTTCATCTTTAACCGAGCCGTGCAATCCCTCCCAAAACAGGTCTCTTACAGGAGCCGAATCTCTGTCCCATTCCAGAGCACTGACCAAAGCGAAAAAGCGGGCATGGTACTGCCTTACGCTGGCCCTCCCTTGCTTCAGTCCATGTATCTGCTGCCGAGCAAGATCCACGTCAATGCTTGATAAAAAGCACCCATCCATCGCTTTAATAAAGGCATCCGCATTTTGGAGCGCCGGATCCTTATCTCTCCACAAATTGCGCAGCCATGCTTTAGCATCTCCATGCAAATGGGACATGATGAATCCCACCTTCTCTTGCTCATCTCTAAAGTCTTTGTCCAGCAGTTGCAGTGCACACATTACATCTGCTCTAAAGTTGGGGTACTGTTGCAAATTCCCATCGAAGTGAGAGACCAGACCGCCTGTTCGTCTCCCCAACCCAATCCCTCCGGTTTGGGTGTCAGTTGCCCTTGCTTCGTAAGCACTTCCAACCTGACCTGGAGATCCCTGTAGGCGGCAGCTGCGTCCTCCTCTCTCTTCCTGGATGCAAGAGCCTCGGCATTCAGTCGTGACACTGCTTCTCTGAGTTCCGCTATCTGCTGTTCGGCCGTCATATTGTCTGCCTTTCGTGAGCTCGCTAGTAGGCACCCGCTTTCTCTCCTCTCCGCGAGGCTGTAGATGCCCACAATTTATTGAGACGGAGCTTACTGTCAGAGCTGCTTCCAGATCCTAGCTCACAGAGGATCACGCTAGCCAGCGATCATTAAACAAAAGTCTTTATTGAGTTACAGTTTCCATTCTCAAACTGCTGCGTGCAACTCTACGTCTCATGGTTAGACCGGCGAAGCTCCGTCTGAGTCTCCGCCCTTGTACACCAACTTAATATCCTAGCCCTGCTCCACCTTTTCCGCCTGACTGTTCTTCTCTGGGTCCCTCTGCCCCCTGGGGTCTCTTCTTTCCGGGATTCCTCTGACGCTGACGCTGACCCCCCTGACTCTTCTCCCTCCTTTCGGCGGGCTTTAGGACCTGGCTCCCTTCCGGGCTGCCTACTGTGCCACCTTCCTGTGCATTTGAACTTGGCGCGCGCGCCCAACCTTCCACCTTCCGTCTGACCGTTTCTTCGCTCCCCGATGGAGGTGTGGCCACCCTGACTCGTGCCCTCCCCCCTGTTGTGAGCTGCCAGCGCTTGATCCCTGGCTCCCTTCCTCTTCCCTGCTCTCTGGCGGTGACGCTGGTCCCGATTTCCAACTGCTCCCCTCTGAGTCCCCTCTGGCTCTATCTTCCTGGGGCGTCCCCTAGGCTCCCCCTTGCCCTGGCCACTGGTGCTCCTTTCTGTGAATCTTCTGATTCACTGGAAAGACTCGGAGATCTCGGGTCGTCGTCATCACTCATCTTTTCTTCTGCCTCCTCCCCCTCGCTCTCTGTTTCCTCCCTTGCCCTTGCCTCTGCTCCTGAACCCCTGACATCTACGATGAGACGTTTCTCTCACGTTGCCTTTTTGTCCACAAAGAACACGGGGCTTCCGCCTACTGCCCTAGACTCCCTAATGAAACCTCTCCTTAAGTTCTTGTCTATAAATGCTCTTAAGTCCTCCATCTCCTGATTGGACATAGAGTACAGTTTTCCTGCCGGTAACTTGGCCCCCGGGATCAAGTTGATCTGACAATTGTAAGGCCTGTGCGGCGGCAGCGTGTCTGCCTCTCTTTCGCTGAAAACCTCTGCCAAGTCCATATATTCTGGAGGAATGCCGCCCTTCTCTCCTGCACACGTAGCTGCCACTCTGGCACTACCAACTTGCGGATCCTTTACCCCCAAACAGTTCTCCAAGCAATACGCCGATCCAAACGTCAGGTTACGCTGATGCCAGGAGACCACCGGATCGTGCATGGCCAACCAACTCATGCCCAAAATGATGGGTGGGCCCGCCAGCGTGGCCACATGGAAAGCAATCGTTTTGGAATGCGTTGAAATCCTCATTCTCATGGGGGGTTTGATGGGTCACTTCCCTCCCAAAAGTTCCTCCCATCAATGGTGGTCACTTGTAACGGAAAGTCCAAAGGTAGTAAATGCAATTGGTGCTGCGCAGCGAAGTCCCTGCTGAAGAAATTGGCACTCGCTCCTGAGTCCAACAGGGCATGGACCTCCATAGCCAATCCATTGGGGAGATCCAGCAACACCCTCACAATTATGCCTGGTTGGGGACGTCCTGGTCGGGGCTCTGGTTCAGTTTCCTTCCTGCCTGGCTGCTGCCCCGCCCCATTCCCAGCCAGGCACTGGCGTTTCCCTGCTTTTGGACTCCCCTCTCCCATCTGGGAGGAAGCCCCACCATTCCCTGCCAGTTGCGACGTTCAGGACACACTCTGGCAAAGTGCCCTGGTTTCTGGCAGATAAAGCATTTCTTGGCAGCCTGCCCGTTTTCTGCTGCCTTGTGAGTTGGCCGTTGAGCCTTTGAATCTTCCCGTGTGCGGGCAGAGTCAATTTCCATCGGCTCTGAGCGAGAGTGACCTTGCTCTCCCTCACTTGGTATGCCAGGAATGCGATCACCATGGGAACGCCGGCCTTTCCTCTCAGCCTAATCTAGCTGCCTCAGTTCCTGCCTGCTGCCCACTGCCAGAGCAGCCTTAACGAGGGAATTCAAGTCCTGGTGTCGGGGCCCCTGGCAAGCTCATCGTTCACCTGAGAATTCAGTCCGGCCTTAAACAGAGCTTGCACAGGTTGAGAGTCTAAGCTCCAATCAAGCTTGTGGACCAGCATCGCAAATTGGGACCAGTACTCCCTCACAGTTGAGTTCCCCTGCCGGAGATCCAACAGCTGCTGCTGAGTCACATCCTCCTCAGATCCAAATGAAAACATAATGTCCATGGCTTCCCAGAATTGTTTGAGATCGCTGAGCTCAGCATTGTGGCTAGCAAGCAGTGGGCGTACCCAATCTCGCTCTGCCCCCGTCAAATGGCCTATAAGGAACCCCACCTTGTCAGCATCTCCAGCAAAAGCAGCTCCTTGTAGTTCCAGGGCATACTGCATGTCAAGTTTGAAGCCCGTGTATAATCTGGGGTCCCCATTGAATTTGCTTACCAGCGTCAAAGACCAGTTCAGTAAGCCCCCTCCAGAAGCTCCTTCAGATCTGGCCCTGGCTTCTTCCAAACGAATCCTTAATTCCTGTGATGTAGCCAATAAATCATTCCTCTCTTTTTCCAGCTGTGCAAGGCGAGCTTCCATCCTGCTTTCTCCTTGCCGACACTCTCCTCTCGAGTGCTCGTTAGCTGGGTGTTTTGAGTTAGAGCAAACTGTCAGTTAGCCAGCTGCATGCGTTGCTGCACTTAGCAGAAAAACACTCCCGGCAGGCAGCCATAAATTCCTTTCTTTATTTTCTTCTGACAAGATTGCATGCAGAATAAACAAAGCGACCCGTCTCTCATGACGCGTTGCTCTAACTACTTTCTCTTTCCCTCTCCCTCGAGACCAACAGAGCCAACGGCTCAGCCCCTTCCGTTTTCCCCTGTGACGTGGATCCCCCTCTCTCTGAAGCACTCCTTCCTCCCCAGACTCACTATCCTCTTCTCTGTCTTCTGAGGAGGACTCAGTACTGAGCAGTGGAGATTGTTCCCTGTATCCTCTAATTCTTTCCTCCCTCGCTGCCTGCGGTTCCCTGACACTAGCTGCCTCTCCAAATCCTTTCCTTTTCAATTCCCCTCTGGAACCTCGGACAGTCAGAGGCTGCCGTACATTAACCCTTTTCTGGCATGGGGAAAAGAAAAAGAAAATACTTGGGGACACAACCAGCCCCAGCAAAAACAATGTTTTCCATCACAGGGTGCAGTGGGTGCAGGCCGCCCCGCATGTCACCACAGAGGGGGGTGACAAAATGCTGGGCAGCACTCACCGCTGGGCCTGCAGTGCACCCAAGCCACACATCTCTCCTGGGAGAGACGCGCTGGCTTGAGCACGCAGAGGCGCCGCGCTGCCTCCCCCCCAACTTAAGGGTGGCTGAGTGGGGGGAGGTAGGCAGACTCCAGAGGCCCCGTGGTGTGCCCCGCCCCTATGGGGGGCTCACCACGCCCTTGCCGCACCCCACCCCAGGTGCCTGAGTGGCTTCCTCTGCCTCTGAGGACAAGTAGAAAACTTCCGGACCAGTACTTCCGGACCAGTACTTTCTAGGCCCAAGTCAGGCGAAAGTACGGACAAGTTCTGTATCTACACAGGCTGTACCTCCCAGAGAACAGCATGGTTATGATAGTAATCAGCCCGTCCATGCTGGTTATTGGACACTATTGCACAGGCATTGTGGTGAATGAATGCATGAATCTTTATTTGAGTGAGCCATTGGCCATAGCAATAAGACAACAATACGATATACAAAGAATAGAAATAAAAAGTCAGTTATATAAAATATATTTTAGGATTTTTAATCAATCCTCCATTAGTGGATTTTATTCTGATTGCCCCAGCTAAAAACCTTGCAACCTTTGCTGTCACCTATTCATCTTGATCTGCCAAGAGAAAGGACACTGTGGCAGTGGCTGGGCGACCCAGAATGGACAATAAAAGAGGGGTGATCTCATTCCTCAAGTCTTTATAAAGAGTGCAAGCCAGAAGGGCATGTGCCATCAATTCGGTACGGCCATCTCCGCAGGGACATAAGCGTTTTTCGTGTGGAATCTGTTGGAATCGTCCCTCAAGTCCAGCTGAGGGCAATACATTCAATCTTGTGAGAGTAAAAGCGTGTCTATATTTTAGGGTTGCTCAGTTATGCAGATAGGGTGCCAGAGATTTGAAATGGGAAGGTGGAAAATAGTCATACCATGGGCAAAATTTCCTTATTGTGGCCAAGTTGTTCTGAAGCTCAATATCATTTAGGCACTGACAAATTAGATTGTTTGCTTTACTAAAACCCAAAGTGAGTAGCTGTTGTGGTGATAAACCACAAGAGGGAAGTTTTTGATAGACAACTTTAGTCCAGGGGCTTTTGTGACAATCTTGCAGCACTAGGGATATTAGACCGGGGGGGATTTGAGTTTAGGCGAAGCCAATAGTTAAGTGTCCTACGTCAGATCCGTAATTCTACCGAGGTAAGATGCATTTGGGATGCATGGGTGGTACGGAAGAAATTTGCCTTAAGAACTTTTTTGGACAGCTTCTGTAGATCCAAGGTGAGAGCCTGTCCAAATCTGAGCCCTATATGATTTAGCTTGGAACACTTCCAGGACTGGTGGTATATGTTTACCACCTTTTGTGTAGAAAAAGCGTGTCAGAATTTTGGTGCTGTCAGAGCTGCTTCCAGATCCTAGCTCACAGAGGATCACGCTAGCCAGCGATCATTAAACAAAAGTCTTTATTGAGTTACAGTTTCCATTCTCAAGCTGCTGCGTGCAACTCTACGTCTCATGGTTAGATCGGCGAAGCTCCGTCTGAGTCTCCGCCCTTGTACACCAACTTAATATCCTAGCCCTGCTCCACCTTTTCCGCCTGACTGTTCTTCTCTGGGTCCCTCTGCCCCCCCGGGGTCTCTTCCTTCCGGGATTCCTCTGACGCTGACGCTGACCCCCCTGACTCTTCTCCCTCCTTTCGGCGGGCTTTAGGACCTGGCTCCCTTTCCGGGCTGCCTACTGCGCCACCTTCCTGTGCATTTGAACTTGGGCGCGCGCCCAACCTTCCACCTTCCGTCTGACCGTTTCTTCGCTCCCCGATGGAGGTGTGGCCACTCCTGACTCGTGCCCTCCCCCCTGTTGTGAGTTGCCAGCGCTTGATCCCTGGCGCCCTTCCTCTTCCCTGCTCTCTGGCGGTGACGCTGGTCCCGATTTCCAACTGCTCCCCTCTGAGTCCCCTCTGGCTCTATCTTCCTGGGGTGTCCCCTAGGCTCCCCCTTGCCCTGGCCACTGGTGCTCCTTTCTGTGAATCTTCTGATTCACTGGAAAGACTCGGAGATCTCGGGTCGTCGTCATCACTCATCTTTTCTTCTGCCTCCTCCCCTCGCTCTCTGTTTCCTCCCTTGCCCTTGCCTCTGCTCCTGAACCCCTGACATCCATCCCCCTCGAAGCCCCCTCTTCCCCCTCCCTCCTTCCGGTGCGGGATCTGGGTGCTGCCGTGTCAGGGGACGAATGTCGGATACAGTTCGCTTCCCGTGGCGGGCCGCCATCTGAAGTCTTCCGGTTCTTCCTCCCTGCTCTCGTTGACGACGGTCACCTCCGCTTCCATCTCTGTGCCGCCGTGCTCGAAACCCGGGTCGTCCCCGAAAAGTCCATGTCCGTCTCTCCCTCGTTGCCTTCTGGAGACGTTGCTCGTCCTGGACCCTCCAGCCACCTTCTACGGAACTGCTCCTCTGGTCGATCATCCCACCAATACGAGGGTTCTGAAGCAGATCCCGAGGGTGACCCCTCCGGGGAACGGGCGTCTCGTGTCGGTTCCTCGTCCGAGTCGAACCCCCGGAACGTGCTGGCTGAAAGCGTGGGCGTGAAAAGCCAGTCGTCGAAAAGTCTGCTGGCATTGGCCTATGTGGGAAGAGGGCATGAAACTCTTCTTTGAGCAGAGGTTCGTCTAAAGCGTAGCCCGGCACCCAGCTGTTGGCACTGGCCGGGGTGCCCTCCTTGGCGAGAAGGTATTCTACCCCTCTTCCCCCCATCTGGAGTCCAAAATCTCCGTGACTTCGTTGATGCGCTCCTCCCGTGCCACTCCCCCCTGCCCGGTTCTCTCTCGGAGCGGACCCGGTGCCGTTCCTGGTTCCTGAAACCTGTGAGGTGCCTTGTAGGGAGTGAGCACCGATCTGTGGAACACCGGATGCATTCTGGAACCCTCCGGAAGAGCCAGCCTGAAAGCCACCGGGTTGACCTGTTCTTCGACTTGGTAGGGCCCCAGTTGTTTATGCCCTAGTTTCTTCTTCGCCAACGACCTGGCCGGCACTGCGTGGGCTGCTAACCAGACCCAGTCTCCCACATGGATCTCTTCGCCAACCCTTCTGTGTTTGTCCGCTTGTACCTTGTATGCGTGTTTAGCCAGCTCCAGGTGCCGCCGCAGCTGATCGTGGACCTCCTGCAACTCCGACGCGAATGCATCTGCTGTCTGCGGCTCCCCTCCCCCATTCTTTCCAGTCCCGGGAAGGTTCTGGGGTGCCTCCCGTTGTTGGCGAAGAACGGCGTGACCCCCGTGGACACGTGCTTCGTGTTGTTGTAGGCGAACTCGGCGAGAGGCAGGTAATCCACCCACGTCGCAGGCTGTTGATTCGCATAACATCTCAGGTACTGCTGCATGATGGCATTGACTCCGCTCCGCTTGCCCATTGGTCTGCGGGTGTCTAGCCGACGCCAGGTTGATCTTGACGTTCAGGAAGCCCATCAGCCTCTGCCAGAAGTTCGAGATGAACTGTCGCCCTCGGTCGGACAGAATAGACCGCGGCAGACCGTGAACCTTGAACACGTGGTCTATGAACAGTTTGGCGGTTTGTTCCGCCGTGGCCACCTTCGCACACGGAATGAAATGTGCCATCTTGGAGAACAAGTCCACCACCACCAGCACAGCCGTCTTGCCCCTCGAGCTGGGCAGATCCGTGACAAAGTCCAGGGCCACTCTCTCCCATGGTTCGAACGGAGTTTGCAGCGGTTCCAGCAGTCCGGCCGGCGGTCTGTGCACTGGTTTGGCCCTCTGGCAGGTGTCACACCTCGCCACGTAGTCCGCGACTTCCCTCTCATTCCTGGCCACCAGAAGTCTCTGGCTACTAATTCCACCGTCTTCTCCTTGCCAAAGTGCCCGGCAGTGGGCGCGTCGTGCAGCTGCTGCAGTACCTTGGCGCGAAGTTCGTCTCCCGGCACGTAGATGGCCCCTTTACGGATGAGCAAACCATCTCGCAGCTGGAACTCGTCGGTCGCTGCCGTGCCCCTGTGCGCCTCTGCCATCTTTGCTTGCGCGAAGGAGTCATCCTGCAACGCTCGTCGCACCGCCTCCAGGTCAACTGTTGCCGCCGTGCACGCCCACACTGTCGGTGCGAAGATGTGCATGGCGGCCGCTGGCGTTGCCTCCTCCAAATACTGTGGCTTACGGGAGAGAGCATCCGCCATGATGTTGGTGTCCCCCGGGACATACTCTATTCGGAAGTCGAAATTCGCAAAGAACTCAGCCCAACGTATCTGCCTCTGGTTCAGGAACTGTGCCGTGCGCCAGTGCTCTAGATTCTTGTGGTCCGTGCAGACCTGCACCGTGTGCTTGGCGCCGATCAGGAAGTGCCTCCACGCTTTGAACGCTGCATGAATGGCCAGCAACTCCCTGTCCCAGATGGTGTAGTTCTGTTCGGACTTGCTGAGCTTCCTTGAGTAAAACGCTCCCGGCCTCCAAACCCCCTGCGGGTCCTTCTGCAGCAGGACTGCTCCCACGGCTCTGTCCGAGCGTCTGTCTCCACCCTCATCGGCCTGCTGGGGTTGACATGAAGCAGTTGCTCTTCCGACGCGAAGAGACGCTTG